AAATCTGGGAAGAGGGAGGTTAAACTAGCATAATAACAGTGCTTCAGTCTTGGTTATAACCTTTAGTAGTGAAGCATTGATGTCTAAAAATAGACTTCCAAACACATACTTAGGCTCCTGAATCAGTGCCCTAATTTTTCATGGCACCCAACAATCTTCAATGACTTGATTAGTACCCTGTAAATTTTTCTACTTTTGGAGGAGATGGGAGTTCAGTATTAGTCCTCCCTGGATTTTTGGGTATTCTTGTCTCCTGATTACTCATTTTATGGGTGGGATGTTTGAATTGAGACTACGCTTTTTGTTTGGAGAGGAAGGGAAGTTAAGTCCAAGAGGCACATGCATTGACAATGTCAAGGACCCGGCTGTCTAAGTTCTGGGGGCATTCTAATCTTTTAAGATGTTACAATGCACAGCAATTCTGAACCACTGTCATTAATTTGCTTTCCAATATTTACTAGAAACCAACTGGGGATCCAGAGTAAATGCAAGCCAGAATATTGTGTTCTCTGGGTGGTAGCTGACTTAAGTCATACTCAGTTATTGATTCTAGTTACAGGTGGTAGCCGTGTTGGTCTGCCGTAGTCGAAACAAAATAAAAAAAATTCCTTCCAGTAGCACCTTAGAGACCAACTAAGTTTGTTATTGGTATGAGCTTTCGTGTGCATGCACACTTCTTCAAATGTTCTTGATTGATTGATTGATTGATTGATTTCATAAAATTTATACACCGCTTGATTGTTAATGACCTCAAAGCAGTTTACAAAAAGATAATAAAATCAAGAATAATTCACAACCATACTTTAGAACATACAAAATATAAAATACTAAAACAGATTAAAATTCCCCCAACCTTCCAAGCATCTGGGAAGAATGTTTTCAGCAGGCGCCAAAAAGAGTTCAGTGAAGGTTCCTGCTTGATCTCAGTAGGCAGATGCTGCCACACTAAACGATCTGAGTTCTTACAAATGTGGAACGGGTATTATGTGGCATCTGCAGTAGTGCCAGTTCTGCCAATCAAAGCGGTTGAGTGGGCACATGAGGAATAAGGCCCTCATGTAGGTAAACTGGTCCCAAGTTGTTAAGGGCTTTATATGCTAATAGTAACAGTTAGTTGTGAATAACATAAGGCATTGGGAATTTGTGATCAGATTTCCATCTCTGTACATTTCTGGCAACAAAAAAAACCCTACCTGTATGTTTCTGTGTCTGAAATCTGTTTATCACAAAGAAAGGGACCACATTGTGGCAGTTTGGTGACTGCAGCTTGCTGGGGCATGTCATTGTTAGATAATAGGGTAAATATGTGAAGACATCTAATCAGATGAGGCAACTGATGTGACCGTTACACTTCCTCTTCCTTGACTTCTTAGGCAGTTACAACTGTATTGTTTCTGACCACTGAAACGACATTTTCCATAAACGTATACACGATAAGCACAATATTTCTGCTGTATTATGCTTAGAATATGAAAGTCAGCAAACACAAAACTTCAAATGGAGACTTAAATGTTGAATCATAGAATTGTAGGGTTTAAAGGGATCCCAAGGGCCATCTAGCCCAACCCCTTGCAATGCAGGAATCACAGCTAATAATTATCCATGCAATGGAAAACACTCTGTGCTGTGGTTGAGCTTGGATGTCAGTGGCTATGAATGATCCAGTGGAATGATTCAAGCTTGCATAAGGTTGATTTCAGTGTGACTTGTGCACATGCAACATGGCACTGGGCTGTGGCTATTAGGCTTGAAGCAAGTGGTTAATATGTATGTCAGGCCATTAACAATATGGAATATGAGACCTTCACTGTTGTCAAGTGGAAACTTCTAACAGCAGCGCTCAGGGTTTCCAGCCAACCATGTCCCTCCTTCAGGATATTCCATTCTGTTCCCCCTGCCCCTTTTCCAACATTCCATGAGCATAGCTGTCAACTTTTCCCTTTTCTTGTGAGGAATCCTATTCAGAATAAGGGGATTTCCCTTTAAAAAAGGGAAACGTTGACAGCTATGTCTATGAGTACTGGGCATGCTCAGTTATCACTGAGCTGTTTTCTTGGAGGGGTTGGGTTTTTTGCTAATACCTCGCTCATGTTTCTCAGTGGCTCTATTTTTTGGGAGCACCATTCCTATGGGCACTTACCACCTCAGTTTGTTATTAGAAGGGGTGATGGGTATTTTTTAGTAGAGTATAGCTGGGAAAATCTAATGTATGTCCTGTCGACTGTCTTTAGAATCTTATTTTAACTGGTTTAGTAACAACTGAAAAGGAAGACAATTATTCAATAGCAACAGCCCTTAAAGTCTTACAGCTTAAGTTTCTACTCATTCTTATTTCCATTCTGTCTCTCTCACCCTTGTGAGAATGTGTTCATGTTAGTAATTCCTTGCAGGTGGGCATTTTTAGACTTGGCTCACTGAAAAAATGCAAACTCCATCTGGAACTCAAAGTGCAGGAAAAGCAACTAACATCAACATTTACCTAACTACTTTTCTCTCACACAAAATAAATGATGCTTCCTGGTTAGAAATCTCTCCACACCAGTTTTGAACTCCTGTTATTTTTACAAATATAAATAGAATCGTGGTTTTTTTGTTTTTTTACAATTGCACAATGAGCAGGAGCTGGGAAGCACTTGGAGCTTCTAAAGGAAACAGTGCTGGCTTTTTGCACCCTTCAGTTGCCTCCAAGAGCCATGCCAATGGATTTGTTCCCACTGGTTCAAGTGACTCTGAGTGCAGGTGTTCCACATGCTTTTTCCCATGCAGTGTGGGTTCCAGTCTGCACGCAATTTGGATGGAACAGCTGTCCGGCATGGAAAACAAGGCGACTGTTGTGCAGTCAATCCAAAATTAAATTAAAAGTGCAAGGGATGAGATGGTAAGTGAAGAAGAGGAGGCAATGATATCTGGCATTTGCAATATTTTAACTGGCCTTCGTTTAGTGGGTACTACATTTGGCTAAAGTCCTGGCCCAGTCATGAGCGAGAATAAATTGGCTCAGCTCCACGGAATTGTATACTGTATCTGTAAGTGCTTGTCTAATTGGAGAACAGATGTCACCCCACCCCCCAAATGCGTCTGTGCCTCTGTTTGCAAGCATTTGGGCAAACATCTATTTGGCCACACATATGTTCAGGGAATGTCCACATTCATGTATGGCTGAAGAGTTGTCACAACCTCATGCTGCATGAAGTTCTAAATGGACCAGAGCGTGAAATCAATTTCTATGCAAATTTACACGGAGTTAAAACAAATTGCCCTTGTAGCATTCACAAATGATGCATGAGTGGCAGAAGATTCACAGGGCACTGCTCCATTCAAAGATGATATTGCTGAACAGGCTGCTCGCCACCTCCCAAGGCAGTCTGTTGAATGCTTGAGCAGCTCTTACCATAAGGAAATTTCTTCCAATGTTTAGCCAAAATGGCAATGACATCCTATCTAGCTAACAGCATTTCATTTGGCTGCCCAAAGTAACTTTGTGACACCAGTACCATGCGCAACATCCTATGCAGGAAAAGCCATGGGCATCACAGAGAGAGAAAAACCCTATGCTCAGTGGGCCTTACTCAAAGGTAAATGTGCACAGTATTACTATCCTGATCCCCACTCTACTAGAACAGGCTTAAAATGGAGGTAAGATACAAGGAATCTCCACTGACATACGGTAGATAGGTTAGAAAGTTCTTCCTCTACAGTATAGTAACCATCCACCTCACATCTTTAAGAAGGTGGACTCAGTCCAGGCATCCCCAACCTTCAGATGTTTTGGCCTACAACTCCCATGATCCCTAGCTAACAGGACCAGTGGTCAGGGATGATGGGAATTGTAGTCCAAAACATTTGGAGGGCCGAAGGTTGGGGATGCCTGACTCAGTCCATTGAATTGTTAAGTAAGAGAGGCCATATGATGGTTGTAGATTCCAAAGGAGGGAAGGACAGAAATGTTTGTGGTGCAGCAGCTCTCTTTACTTTCTCCTTCAATACCTGAACATCCAAAGGTCGAGTGATTTGCAAGTAATAAATAATCAACATCATGTGTGTTTAGAGGCAATAGTTTAGCCTGTGAGAGAAGGTCATTTGAGATCCACTTAATCCAGGTGAAATTTTGAATCCGGTGGTGTTTTTAAAATAAATGACATACTTTTTCTATTAGGTAATTCTGTCTATTTTCATCTAGGTATTGGGCAGAGTGAAGAAAGTGGAGAAATTGCTCCCCCACCCCCATTTGTGCAAGTAAGTTCCACTGAAATCAACCTTAGCTTTCCTCCTCTGCCTCTCCATATAGGAAATATTTCACACTTTTCCTGGGTAAGACCTACAGAGTAGAATTGGGTGGCTGTTGTTGTAGTCCCCTTTAACAACTAATATTCGAAAGTCATCGTTCTGGGTCAAACCCTCTCACCGCAGCTTCCAGAATCACACCCAAAAGTAATAACAACATTCTGGCAACCACCACGCTAACAACAAAACATTTAGCCCAACATAATATCCTCAAATATCATGTTAAGTGAAGCTAGGGATTGCATCGCACACTCATCCTACCTAGACCCATCGAAATGAATGGGTGTGGCTAACTCTGCTTCACTGATTTCAGTGGGTCTACTCGGAGTATAACTTAGTTGACCATCATAACGCTTGTATCGCAGCGTTGTGTTCGGGACGGGGCTGTTTACTGCAAAATAGACTTCATTGAAACGAGTGGAAACTTCCTACATTTCCCTCGACAGATGTGTGTGTGTATAATCTCGGTCTACCCTTCCCTTCCTTCCCTCCAGAAAACATCGCTGTCTGCAACCCCCCAAGCGTTCTTCGGTCGCCGAGTCTCTTCCAGTCGCCGCCTGGAAGTTCAGAGCCGGTACGACCGGAGGAGAAGCCCCCGCCCCGCCCCCGCCCCCTCGACGATGCCTCGGGGTCGGGAGAAGTCCTTCTGCCGAACCCGACCAAAGCCAACCTCACTCCACCCTGGCGGCCTCGGCGCATGCGCCCCGGGGCCGGCCAATTTAAAAGGCGGCAGAGCGAGACACTGGCGGGTATTGAGCGCCTCTGCACAAATCCCGGCGCGGAGGGGGCCGAAGCGGAGAGGCGGCTTCGCCGGGGAAGGAGACATGCTGGCGGCGGCGGCGGCGGCGCTGCTGCTTCTATGCCAGGTAGGCGAGGAGCACGTGCGCCTGTCTGGGCCGAGCCCCCTCCTGCCAAGTCCGTGGGCACTCCCCACCACTTTTAAAGACTGCAAAGCATCTCCTCCAGAAGTAGAGAGTTGTCTTTGCCCTTGAATTGGAAACGGGGGGGAAAGGTGGAAATCCCCGGGGATGCTCCTTGCAGAGGGAGGAGGGGGCGAGTGCAGAAGGGGAGCCCGGCGGCCCCTCCCGGCCGGCGCTTCTCCGGAGTTTGGCGGGACGGGGCGGCTGCAGGCAGGCGCTCGGCGTGTCCTCCGCTGTGGGCGGGCGGCTGCTTGGAGGGCGCGCCGGGAGAGGAGCAGCCGGCTCGGCCCGGGAGCCCAAGGCGGCCCAAGGCACGCCGCGCCTGCTCTGCAAGAAGCCCGCGAGGTTCTTGGGCGCGATCATGCCGGATCTCTCTTTTGGGAAATCTTCGTCTCCGGAAAAGTTGAGATGGAGGCGGTGGGGGAGGAGGCGTGAGTCACGCACTGAACCGCCGGGTGTTTATTTTGGTTGAACTCGCAGCAGCCTTCCCTGGTGACGGACGCGTCAAAGATTCCCTGCTCGGCTGCTCCGATTTCCTGGTTGCCTTTAACCTGGAGCAGGTGGGGCTGAATCAGGGCGCCTCGGTCCAGCGGGGCGGGGGCGATGGGGATGCTGCCGGTGCCTGCCTTGCTCTTTGACTGCTTAATAAGAGCCGGTCTGCTGGCTGGCCAAGGGACCCCCGCCTGCCCCGGATAAGCGGATCAACAAGCGAACTTCATCCTCCCAAGTCTCCCAGCCTTTCTGGAGCACGTGCGCTGCCGTCGGATCGACTTCTCTAAACAAGAAGTCCGGCTTGTGGAATGAGTTATCCCGGGAGATATAGGGCCGCTCGTCGCTTGAGAGAGCCATGAGTTGATACAATCCAGTTGCCGGCTGTCCCGTATAGTCCAAACACCACGCTTTTAAGAAGCTTGGCATGTGTCAAGGGAGAGAGTACAGATCCTTCATTCTTTGGCAGCATATCCCTTACTCCCTACTGTGCAACATTGGTGATGCTGTTAGGGTTTCTGGGTGCAGAATGGGTAGCAACACAATGGTAGGAGCAGTGCTGGGCAGCTGGTGGTTTAAATTTTCCAGAGCGACTTTATGTCAGAAGAACTATGGGAAATTTAAATGGCAGCTAGCGTTGGAGCCAAGTCTTAGGGGCTGAGGTCTTTCCCCCCCTCCAATAAAATATCTGAGGGGGTGCCCCCCAGTTAATGGGCACTACCATCCAAATGGTGTGCGCTCGCTGTGTCTTGTGATTGATTATGCTGGGTGGGGCTTACCTGCCCCCCCCTCAATATTTTATTCAAGTTGGCACCCCTGGCAGCTAGAGCCTACCATCTAGTGTGCTGCTTGAAGCACTGAACTGATATCCGCCCCCCCAAGTGGGAGGAAGGTAGGTGTCAGCAGTGGGTCTTGCCACAGATTCCTGCATTGCAAGGGGTTGGGGTCCCCTCCAACTTTGATTCTAGGGTGCTGGGCCCCCAGCAGCGGGCCAAAGATGCCAGGTGCTGGCACCAGTGCTGTGTATAACTGAAGTAACATCACTTACTGTTTTGGGCCGTGTTTCCCCACTGCGCAGTTTCCCCACTGTTTGAAAGCAGCTTTGGAACTGTGAATGGAATCTGAACGTGCCTTGTGCAAGGCACCCATCTCCAGGGTGGGGGTGCAAGGACAGAAATGGACCCTTGAATCATGAGGAACACATGTTGGCTGAGGAGGAACCCCACCTCACTTTTTTATTTACAAAGTCAAGGTCTGAGCACATCCTGCCAAGCAAAAGATTGCCACACAATGGGAATTGGCTGTTGACTATTTCTCTAGTTGATTGCCCATGTTTCTCTGTCAAAAACAAAACTCCTGGGAGGATTTCATCATGTTTGTACCACAGACAGACAACATGTAGCTCAGATTATGCAACTTGTCCCGCTGTTAAGATCCTTTTCCTAATAGTTAATCAAACTCTTATCTTGACATAACTTGTGTTCCCATAGGCAATGAGTAAGCAACTGTTCTCTGTCTTTTTGAAACAGAACAGCTATTGACTGTAGAGAATAAGGAATAATTCAGCTGTGCACTTTTTATGTAGTATTACAAGCTTATGCAACTTCTGTGCTCCTTTTTTCACCTTTGCCTGTAGAATGCCGCTGTGTAAATCAAGTTTGCACTCTGCAGTATCAGCCGAAGCTAATCCAATAAAAGCTATTGCCTTAATTTCCTTCTTTTTCTACCTTTGGGGAGCCTGAGTAATGGATTCTAAGTAGCACTAAGCCTTTATGACAGGATGGGATATAACCCTAGTGTTTTAGTTAGGATTATCTGAGATACGGCGCACCTGCTAACGCAAGCGCAGAGCAGTAGTTTAGTGCAATGATGATGGAAAGTGCAAATATTTGAGTAATGAGTAAGCTTACACGTTCAGCTCAGAACCAGTGTGCTGATGTTCTATTTGACTCCCTCGTAAAACTATTTTCTTTGCAGTTCTTCCTCTTCTCTTCTGTGTGAAGTACAGAAACTCTTGGAAACCTCAGTAGCCTGAGTAAGGGCTGTGGTTCCTGGTTCCTAACACACTCTGAGGGACAAATTCATCGATGATGAATGCAAAGGAAGCTCAGGCATGCTGCCACATCAGCACCCCTTTGTGTGGTGCACATGGAATTGCTGTGCTTTTTTCCACATGTGATACTCCTCTCCACATACCCCTCCCTTTTCTGTAGGAAAACTTTATATAGGGACCAGCAGTTTTGCTTTGTTTAAATTCTGTGATAATGTGTGGTGCCGTTCTCCTTTCAGAAGCTAGTGCATAACGTATTTTGTGTGTGTTTTGGGGTGGGGGGAACATGATCAAAAGGAGATTGTACTGCTAAGCAATAGCTGTAAGGGATTGTTGGTAGAGCATTCTGAAAGAGGCTGAGAAAGAGTGTTTTCAAGAAAGCTGCATGAATAATTAAGAGCAGGTATTATTAAACTATAACTCCCCTGAGCCTCAGCATTAGTATTCCACATGTCAATATTGGTATATTCTGTGCCTGGTGGTCAGCTAAGAGACATTGGATTGAGGTTATAGTGATGTGTTCTAGGTGCTCATTAATTAATAAAATAAAATAAGTTTAAATAGTTATTAAATGTATATACCTCTGTTCATTTGGGGATCACCAGGCCGTTTACAGTATATCATGCTCTTTGATGCTTATATATCCTTTGTCATTCTGCGAATCTTCAGAAAATGTGACAGACAGCAGGACAGAATATGATGTTTGAATAATTGGATCAGTACAGTGGTTTGATAAGGTTCTTCTTTCTTACCATGTGTTTAATGCAGCCCAGCTTATTTCTGACTGCTGTATTCTGTTACAAGTCTAACCTAATGGTTAGCAGCTTTAGGACATACTCACAAAGCGGTCAGTTTAGAGCAAAATGCAGTTGTACATCTGTCTATAAAGGTGGCAAGCCTTTGATCATTGGTAATGTCTGTTCTATGATCAAGGCATATTCTAGCATGATGTTTAAGGAGAGATTGTTCTTAAGACACAGCACGTCAGTATTTGTTTTAAAATCTGAAACATTTCTCATGTTTTGATAGAAGCTCAAGCTGCCTGGACCCCTAGATATGTAAATACTTTTAATAAAGCAAACATAGTTGGATAAACTAGCCTTGAAGGGCATTCTGTAGAATACATAGTTGCCACCACCCTAGCTGCATCTGGTTTGGCTTCCTGTGACACACTTTACATGGAGTTGCCTTTGAAGAATGTAAGCAAACTTCTGATGGTGCAGAGGGCAGCAGTTGGAGGTTTTGCTAGAGCTAGTTCTTTTGAAGCATGTGACTCCATTACTGTTTGTATCCATTGCTGGCTCCAGCCTTTTTCCAGACCTGTTTAAGGCCTTTATCGTCTGTGGCTCATAACCAGGATTCTTACAGGTTCACTTCTTCCTACCTAAACTTGCCCATCTAGTTAGTTGATTGGGAGCAGAGCCTTCTCCATATCTCCTGCCGTAAGAAGCTGGGCTGTTGGTGATTCCAACAAGGGGCTTCTTCCAACATCATGGAACTTCCTGCCTAAGGAAGTCCGCTTGGCTCCTTCACTGACTGCATTCAGACACCACCTAAATACCATTTAAAATTTCTGCAAGCCTGTGGCCTCACTGCCAGATTTGTCTTCTGTCCTTTGGGTTTTTCTCCTTCAAATAGTTTTATTTGCTGTGGTGTTGTTATTAGTTGTTGTTTTCAAGTTGCTGCTGTTGATCCTTGTATCTCATGGTAGTCGAAAGGCTCATGAGCTGGACAAGTGGGCTGTACATGCTTTAAATAAAATAAATAAATGACAGGCAAGGGCCAGAAATCTGAATAGCCTCTATGATGCAATAAGTAGCGGGATGCAGCTGTCTACCATGTTAAGACAACACCTTCATGAGAGCCTGGAAGCTTCCACTTAAAGGACAAGTTGCTGCTGCCGTGCTTGTGGGCAGAAACAAGAGGTGTGAGTGCTGTTTTCCAGCAGCTAGAGATTAGGACCTCATTCTTGCCCCATCCTCCCTTTCTGCCTCATTGACTCCACTTCTCCTGTGCCGGTGATTCATGCAAGAATTCCTCATTTTCTTCTTGCTTATCCAGCCTGTTCTCTGCCAAATTTCTAAATCAGCAAAATTTCAAATCTTCTTCCCAGAATCAAGTATGCACTTTCCTACAGCTATTGCTCAATTGTCGTCTCTGGTTGCTGCATTTGAGTTTTTAATTTTGAATTAAATGCTGCAGCCCCTCATTGTAGACATTTACACAAAGCCTGCTTATCAGCAGTATTTTAAGGTATTTTTCACACATGAGGTACCTATAATGCACCTCAGATTTTGGCTAGAAGCTCCCATTTTATTTACATTTGCTGTTTTAAATATTGTGATGATGGGCATAAATCGCATAAATAGCACAGTGCAGAGCTCTTTTCTGGAGTATTGTATGTTAACAGTCTTAAGTGCCTGTGGTTTCTCTTACTATTGCAAAAATTTCTTATATACAAGCAAAGTGAAGCTAATTTTTTCTTGGTTTTTCAATGCCCGAGTAAACAATATAATCTCGTAGGTTGCTTAACTTTTGACCACTGCTATAATGCAAGTTACAAAATTCAGGCTTCCTTACGTAAACTTCTAATTTGAAAGATGAAGAGATTGTCAAATGGCTGGAAGGCTCAGTTTCCTTCCTTGATGGTATCTGTTTCACTGCCATGTAGCTCTGCTGGGGCTGAATGTAGTATGTTTCATGCACTGCATTACTCTTGATTGAATCTTGTCTGTGGGTCTAATCAGTTGACCCATTTGGATCAGTGAGGCTTTCCTCATAGCTGAACTCAACCTGAGTTCTTCTGAAGCAGGGTTGAAAAAACACTTGTACAGTTTCCAAAGGGGAAGGCACATTAAGGCTGTAGTTGCAAAAACTATGATGATTCTTATGGCACCTTCAAGACTAGGGATGGGGAAGGGGATTGAATTCATGTCTCATTTGAAGCTGAATTTATCACATTCGCTTTTTTCAAAACTATATGCAAACCAAAAGAGAGATATCTGTCAAATTTCATACTCATCCAAATTTTGCTATGCAGTTTGCCAACTAAACAATGCTTACAAAAAATGCATGCATTCGGGGAAAGTGTGCATAATTTTTTCTAAACTTTATTTATTTGGTTTTTCAAATTAAAATTAAAAAATTGTGCATAAAAATTAATATTTTGGCAAAAATAGCACACAGCAATGCATTATATTAGGGGAAACAGCTTGCAAAAATGTGTATATTAGTGAAAACTGCACATAAAAATGTGCTTATTAGGAGAAATTCACACCAAAATGCTGCTGAATTTTCATGAGGATTTTAAAAAAAAAAGTAATTCTCATATTGCTGCAAAATGTCACGGAGAACGGAATTTTAGTTCAGAAAGATGAGAATCTAAGAGAACTGAATTTGACAGATGTGTCCATCCCTATGCAAGCCTTAACCAATTTATTAGGGTATAAGGCTTTTGTGGAATGGATTCATTTCATTAGATGCAATAAAGCATTGTTCTCAATTGGTAAGCATGTGTACATGAATATATAGAGTGTGTGTACAGTACCTGAGTATATGGTGGGCATGTACACGAGTGTAGGAGGGAAATTGTAAGCATTGGGGTCAAAAGGCAATGAAATTATTGCTTTGCAGCTGCCTTTATTGAAACTGCAGTAGATGAGATCCAAGTATACTCATATTGCTTTGAAGGAAAACATGTACATAATGTGGCTTTGAGATGGTTTGTAGGCACCCCATCTCATTGGCATGTATTTTCATTACATGAGGCTTAATTTGAGGCTGGGGAAAAAAATCTCTAAGCAGCAAGGCTGTGAAGACTTGGACACCTTGGTAAGGAACCAAATTCTTGGCTCTGTGGAACTGCCCAAGGAATTGCTATGTGTTCTTTATTCCTCCTCATCCTTTCTGCTAGTTCCTAGGAGGTCCTTTGAACTTGTGGCACCGTTGGTGTCTCTTCTCCTACCCAAATAGGAATCTGTTCCTGCTTTAAGTCTGAAAATATTTATTTTAACATTTTGCCAGTCTGAATATGAGAAAAGGCAGGCCCTGGGAAAATAAGGAACGGAATAGAAGGAACGCAACTCAAATAGCATTTTTTTGTTTTGTTTGGGGAGGCAGAGCGCGAGGACTGGAATATGTTCTTCAGCAAGCAGGTGCCAGGTCCGCAGGCACTCCATAAAAAACCATCTCTTAATGCCTGTGTTGTGGCTGCATTCTGGTCGTAAAAGCATTTCCCACAAGGAGACTGAGCACAGAGGAGAAGCAGCTCCTTCGGTGAGATATGGCATTGACCTTCCTTGCTCTGGAAACAATCTCTGCTCCAGCTGTTTATAGTCAGAATCACCTGCTCTGGGTTGACTTGAACAAGCCGTGGGGTTAATCATGCAAACTTCAATGAACCCCAGGCCTGTTTTTGCATGCAGCGCTCTGGTGATTTATGGTGTGATCTAGCAGCTTAGAAAGCTGCCAAGCCCATGACATCCCCACTGGATTGTAGTGAGGCCTGCAGCAGAATCTGGAGTTATGTGTGGCAGTTTCTAAAAATGGAATGTTCACGTTCCAAAAGTTCACTTAAAAGTTGAAATATAGAAATTTGTTGAGCTATGTAGAGTTCATGGGAGGTAGTAGCTCATCTCCTCCCTATTGTGCTATGATGAGAGTTTCTGTAATGATACTGCTAACAAGTTAATGTATATCAGTGAACATGCATGCTGGATTTTAACTTCCTATCCAAATAAAACCTGAAGTTTTCAGTTAATTTGAACTTCAAAGGCCAAAATGGTTTTAAGGCCAAAACAACTTTCACTGCTGCGATGTTGTCATAGCTGCCATCTAAGGATCAGAAGCTGCTGCTTCATTATGCCTTAATTATTCCTCTGTGCCACATTTTGAGAACCAGCAGAGACCAAAGCTTGAGTGTTCCAGTTCGTGAGAACCTCTTCCTTGCTCCTCCTCTTGGAGCAGTAAACCAAGTACAAACCTTGACTTCCACTTTTGGTTTGTTTGTACTGAAACAAAGCACAAGTGCTGCTTCACACATAATGCTAAGTGAGTGCTGGGGGCTGTTGTTTTCCTCCTGGGGTGGGACAGGGAGGAGAAGGGTGGACCCAGCTGAACAGCATGAACCAGCACACTGATCATTCACAGGAATCCATAGCTTGTGACTTACTGTTACACACAAACCAAGCATCTTCCTTCCCTTCCCACTTTTTAATCAGGACTGGCTCCAAAGCAACTATAACCTGTTACAAAGTTAACTTATAAGGTGTTGAGGATACATGATTGTGTGTTTATATATACACACACACGAAATGTGAACATTTGACATGGGCTGCTGTTTGAGAAACAGAAATCGGAAATCCATTGGGCACAAAGAACTACTTTCTCAATTCTTTGGATCCTGGCCTGGCCCTCACCTCCCTCTAAAGCAGGGACTGGCCCTCTGGATGTTGTTGGATTACAACTCCCATCAGCCCTAACCATTGGTCACACTGTTTTTGGCTGAAGGGAGTTGGGAGTCCAGTGACACCTGGAGGGCCCCCAGGTTTCTCCACTCATCAGCAGTAGATCCAGGACACCAAGGCGCATGCTGGAAGAACTTAAAATCCTTGAAATGGAAGGAATGATGCTGCAGTGGACTCCCATTTTCAGTGGATGAATTTTCCCATCTGAATCACTTACCTTCCGCTGGTTGCATCCTTCCTACAGTACCTTCATATTGACACCTTCCATTTTATCCAAAACCTAACTTTTCTATGATGTCTTTGGCTTAACCCCAAGTACATGTAACTGCATTCGCCCATATTCATCATCTGCTGTGAACTGTGCTTCGCCCCTTCATCCCACTAAATCCCATCTCATGTTTCCTCTCCCTCTTGAAGCATTCAGATCATAAACTCCTTGGGGCAGGTATTTGTCTGTCTGTCTCTGCCCCCCCTTTCTCTTTCTTTCTTATTGGCTTTTACTTGATGAAGATACAAAGAGCAGGAAGAGGAAAACAAGCCAATTGTCATTCTGGTCTTCCATCGTGTTGCATAATGAAGTTTCATAATAGCCAGGTGAAGTGGTTGCTGCAGAAGACAGTTCAGGGAAGAGTAGAGAAGCCAAATGGCAGTTTTACCCAGCCAAGCTGATGGAGGGAACTTCAGGGTTACCCTGAAAAGGCAATTTTAGAAAGCTGAACTTTTATTATTTATAAAGCACATAATACTTTAACCCCACTGTTTCACCTCTCCTCAGCTGCAGTCAAGTGTGCTGTGTTACTGGGTGCATTGATAGTGCTGTACAAACAAATTGGCCAACTCTGTTCTACTACATATTTGTAGCAGGACCATCCTTGCTTGCCTTATACCAGTCAATGAATGGTTGTGGACAAAGCTGCAATCCTGTGCACATGTTCTCCAAAGTAAGTCCTACTAAACTTAATAGGCGTTATTTCTCATTCACACATGGAAGACACTGCCTGACAATGCATTCATCAAGTGACAGTTATGCAGGTATGCAGTGACCTTTGGTTGTGATCTGTGTCTTACACAATTATTTCCATTTTCATATGGAACGCAGGGGAAACATGACATAAAATACCCATTCAGATTAAATTTGGTGCATCTCTGTGGGGGTACCTCATCTTTAACCCTGGCTGGTTTGAGAGCAGTTGTGGACATTGGTGGATGTCCTGGGAAAGGGTATCCCAAGGTTTTGCAGCAGTAAGTCAGACTGACCACCTCTATCAGGGACGGGGAACCTGTGGCCCTCCAGATCTTGCCAGAATACAGCTCCAGTAATTCTTGACCATTGGTCATTCTTCTGGGAGTTGACATAAAATAACATCTGGAGAGACACAGGTTCCTCATCCCTGCTCTGTAACTTTTTGCATGCATGCATACCATACAAAGTGAACTTCAGTGACAAAACATTAAATGATGAAGTTCAGCTTTCCATATGCATGCTTGAAACTTAACCGTGAAGATGTCAGGACCCATTTGTGATTGGGGGTAATCTGTTACCCAGCTACCCTTCCGCTTCACCTGTGTTTCCCATGAACTTTGATATGGTAAACACAGCTAGAGGTGGGCAAACATCTCAACAAATGAAACATAAAGGGCTATTGGGAGAGAAAGTGTGTCCTTGCAATTTCCAGAGGCTGTCTGCAAGACCACTCTCAATTGCCACCCTGTCCATGTGACGCACCAGTAAGTGAGAACATTTATAACTGGCCTTGTTTGTTCTGTTTAGCCATGCTGTGTATCAACACAGGACTGTTTGTGTTACGAGTGTAGCAGACAAGATCAGCCTACAGAGGGACATGAGCCAATAATTTAATGCTGAACCCAACTCCTTTTACTTTTTTAAAAAAAGATCCTTTATACCATCCTCAAAGCAGGATCTGATCATCTGGCAGCCATGAAACCAGTTGTCATCTCAGCTTCTCTGTGAGGCTAAACTGATGTGCCATTTGCAGAAGTGGATAACTGGGACCAAAAAAGGCCAAAATGATGCCCAAAACATTTGGCAGATGATTGGAATGATAAAGTCAACACTGAGCAGTTTTTAGCTTTGTGGGTGGCTTCAGGGAGAGCTGAAACCTTTGCCATGAAACTTTCATAAAACCCCAAATATTATTATTTAGTCCCATCAGTAAGTAGTAGTAATTGATTTATGGGCGCTGGTTAATAATTCCTATTAACAATAAGCCCGATGTGGTTTTAGGAGATTCACAAACTGGCTCTGGAAATACTGTAATGCTGGATTGTAGAAATTGTATTAAGTTCATTTATGGGAGCAAAGTAAGGCAGCCCTTTACAAATTATGTAACTTTCAATCCTGCTGTAGAGATGAGCCTTGCCTCTTTTCTTAGTTCACCATTTTTGTATGATCTTGCCAACCTGCTGCCCTCCAGATGTGTCAGACAGACTACAACTCCCATCAGCCTCAACCAACAGGGTGGTAGCTGAGGCTGATGGGGAATTCAGTTCAAAACATCTGGAGGGCATGAGATGGGTGAAAAGTACCCAGTTCCTCCTGTTTGCAAATGATCTTTGTTTCTAATCTATTCTTTCTTTGGAGATTGTGAAGAGGGAACCTGCTGGCTATGGTCAAAGAAGACACACACACACACACACACACACACACACACACACACAGAGGCATTAAACTTCTCTGGCAGGGATATAAATAGCTGGAATTACAGACCAGAAAATTGCCATGGGGGAAAATGCATTAGTTACCACGTGATCACAAAAAGGCCCATTAGTATTGTGTGTCTGTCTGTGTCTGGGATCCAAAGTGTATTCTTCGACTAGGAGCAAAAGGTCATGCTCTTAAGTTCAGTCAGAAAAAAGTAATAAAATGTGGAACCCTCTGTCATAGTCTCTTCAAAGCGTCTTACAGTGGAGACTTTGAACACTGTGTTTTCCTCCTGTCTTTGCTATAACGGCGTGCATGTCATATATGACTTTTCTGTTGGCATAAAAAACCACAGTCCCTATCCCAAGCTTGCAACTGAACTAGCTTTGCCCTGTTAATGCTAGTACTCAAATGACCGGAGGGTTGGCTATGGCTTTTTCCAAAGAAGATGCTCTCTGTGGGTGCTCCTCCTCAGTAGGCTCAGAGCTGCTGTTGTGTCCTGGAATGCAATCCTGAACCCTGAAAAGCAGGTTTTTGGAATGGCTCTCAAACAAGTCTGCTCCAACCCAGAGCTCCCCTATCTAGCCAGTGGTTTGTTTGGACTTGGCAGGGGAAAAGTTATGTTGGACCATCCCATGGGAACTGCTCTATATTTTATCTCTTTAGATATCTGTTTCTATATTGTACACACAAATGGTACCAAACTGTTCTTCCTTAGAGAAGAAACATTTAGAGAGATGCACTTCAGACACCCAAGGATTGCATTCCTTATATTAAAATTATAAATGGCAATTTTGGTACTAAGAGGAGATACAGATACAGGAGCCACAGGATGGTAAAGACGACATGACTACCTACAACTTGTACTATATGCTTTAAAGAATATTGCATTTCTCTGTCCAGTAGAGGGGTCTTCAAAGTGGAGAGAAATGAACTTTCAGTGCCAGAGACTTAAATTTTTTGGGGGGTTACATGTCCTCCAAATACAAGGTAATTTTTCTTAGTTTGGCTTCTGTTGACTCTCTACCTAGTGCACACCCTTAAAAGTACCGTAACCTTCAGTTTTGCTAATATAAATACTTTCATTTTTATCTTGTCTGGATGTCAGAAAGCTGAAGTCATCCTTGTGTTTTGACGAGGAGACATAACCAAAGTAACTGCTAAATTTTATATCTTCAAAAATGGGGAAACAGCATTTTTGCTTCTTTGTCTTAGTAGCCTTGGGTACATCTTGCAAATCTGTCTTTCCCCTAGTAAAGCTAATCCAATTATGACTGCATAACTCCTCCTGCACTCCATTTTAAGACTGTTACAAACTGCAGACTTTGGGACGACAACATGCCCAGCCTTTTCTCTCTCCAGCCCCCCCCCCAACATTCATAGAGCATGATTAAAAGAGATCTGGAGAATTTGAAAGCTTGCTTACTGTGTCATGACTCTATGACACACTGTGGCTTTGGGATTATTCCTTTTGCTATGTGCCTTTTGGGAACCTGAGAAAAAGTCTTCTGGTTTCTGGGTCTTGCTTCTCCTAGCTGTGAAATGCTAGACCAGGCATAGGCAAACTTCAGCCCTCCTGATGTTTGGGACTGCAATTCCCATCACCCCTAGCTAACAGGACCAGTGGTCAGGGATGATGGGAATTGTAGTCCCAAACATCTGGAGGGCCGGAGTTTGCCTATGCCTGCGCTAGACACTAGTATTTCTCTTCTTTCCTTGTGTGGGATTGCCTACTGGAAATGCTTGAGTGCTAGAGTAAAGGCTGCACTTTTTGGTAGGGGCTTTTGGGATCCACGGCAGCTGTGCTTTCCAAACTCCCCCCCCCCCCCCCGCATGAACCACTTAAAAATTGTGCAGAGTCTTACTGAGTTTTCTGCCTGTTGTAGCAGCTGCATTAGATGCTATATGATTTTTAATTATATTTTTATTCTATAGAATTCAGGCTAATACAATAAAATGCAAAATAAGAGACAAAAGAAGCAATTTAAAAACAATTCAAAATCAAAATGAATACAGGCAACTCTCAATTTGCCTGCGTTTGCATGTGCAACTGTGTATGCACATGCTGTCTTTGGCACTGAAAGAGAGTGGATCGAGGCGGAATGCGGTAGGCTTACGCCTGCTCCGCTGACATACACACACAGAACGTAAGGGGGTTTCCTGTATTTAATGCGATGGATGTGCAGTCTCCCATCTGCAACCACAAATCCACAGACACGCTGTTGACACCTGAATGATCCCTGTTGTTCGCAGACCACAGTTTGGGAACCTCTGTACTGCACTTTATTTATAAGATTTTAGTCTTTGCTAAAGTAAATGTTTCCCAGAACTGCTTCTTGCCTTGATACCCTGTCTGCTATAAATAATCGTGTGCACTAATCCTTGCAGGTCCCCCTTATTCTGTGACCCTGAGAAGAGACTCTGGGGTTGTGTCAGTTCCTGTGATACCTTATGCTGAACTGCACCTGTCCATCAAATATGATTGTATATATACATATTTTTTCCTTGCATAGCAGTAATATTCACGTAGGAATGCAACCTTGCATGAAGTGACCGTAAGTAAACTGAACTTCCTGAATTGGTGACCTGAATATGCAAATGCTGGGTTGGCATTTTATAATTCCAAGGAACATAAACTCCGTAACATGTGGGGTTTTAGATTTCTGCTTTAGATAAGTTCACATTTCAGTTCCTTTTTCTAGTTGCTATTGAAACGTTTCTCCTTACTCTTATCATTACCCTCCCCTTTTCCTTCCTTGCTTGCATGAAATAATAAAACCCCGACTGGCTCAGAAGGTAACTTAAGCCAAACAGGCATTAAATGGACTAATTTCCTGTAATATTTTCATCCTAGTAACAAGGCTCTGAAAGACAATTTTCTCCTTTTCTTCACCAAGGCAGGCTCACAGGATTACCAAAAAAGTCATACAGAATAGGGCTTACTGCCAACTGTTTGGATGAGGTCTGACTCCCGGTGTTCTTACCACACCTGCTTTGCATGCAGAAGGTCTCATGTTCTATCCCCAGAATCTTCAGGTAGGGCTGAAACCACGGAGAACCATGACCTGCCAGCATAGACAATACTTGACTTGCTATGAGGCAACTTCCTACGTTCCTTACATGTGTGGGGTTGTAGAGGTGTGGCTTGGGAAGAGAAATCCACAGCCAGAGGAATCCCTTCTCTAGATTAATTTCCAGCATTTTCTGCTTGAAACCTCTTCAGAGCAAAGTGTTGCTTGCATCAATAGGCATTCCCCACTGTACATCTGGCTCAAAGGCTTGCATGCCGCTGGCTGGCAGCAGAGGAGAAAATGTCAATAATTGCCTTTGACAGCGTGACCACGCATGGTCACAAGGGTTTGCGATGCCGCTGTCTTCAGCCTGACCTTCCTGAAGCCTATTGCATTTTTCAGATTCTTGACACCATGGAGTGATGTTAAGCTGAGAAAGTCTCTGTCTCTGTCTAGAGCTGGGGCTATGGGGGGTGGGGTGGGGGGGCAGAGCCTGAAATTCTTCAGATCATCTGCCCTCCAATTTCTGGTTAGCCTGAGTGTGAGATCAGACACTGAAGCTGACCTCTTTTTATCTATGACCTTGGTGACTTGGAATTGTATCCTCTAACTTTCTAGCAAGTGTGCATGGAGCCTGGGGCTGAAGGGGGCGGGGAACGGTGGATATGGATTTGGAAAGCTTCTTTTCAGTAAGTTATGTATTATTAACAAGTGTGGAGGCATTGAGAAGATCCCCATTAAACCATTAGAAGGTCCTAGGCTGACCTTGCGAACCTCATGCTCTCCATTAAGCCTGTGATGAGAATTAGGCAAGGGCAGCCCATTCATGAGGCAAGGTGAGGCAACTACATCAGGTGGCAAGATCCACGGGGGCAGCAGATTCAGCCTCCAAAGAATGCATTGCCCACCACAGTGATGGATGCAGTGTGCTCTTTGGAGGCCAGATCTGCCACCTCCTTGGCAACCCCCCCCATGCCACTTCTACAGTGGGCTGTCGGAGAATAGGAGGTGCTCCTCTCAACCCTAGGGAGGAAATGCCAAGGGTTGCCCTCTGGGGTTGCTTGGGGTCTGCACCCACCTGGCGTGATTCAGAGCAGGCCCCTTCCTCCCGCAATGGCCTTTGATTCCTACTTCAGCCATCTGGTAAGTAGATGTTCACTCGCCCCCTTCTTCCCTGGTGGGCTGGGAGTGGTACCATTTTGTGGTTTGCCTCAGATGCCAAAATGTCTTGGGCCAGCCCTGTAATTAGGGTGGGGCATGTATGCAGTCTGGTGCTCCTTGGAGGAAAGGAGGAATAAAAATGTACTAAGGCCACATTCACACTATACATTTTACTACCATAATACTGTACCACGTTAAGCAGTCATGCCCCCCCCCAAGAATTCTGGGAGCTGTGGTTTGTTAAGGGTTCTGAGAGTTGTTAGGAAACCCCTATTCCCCCCCCACCCAGTGGTTTAACAGCAGTCGTTCTTCCCAGGGAACTCTGCAGCGTAGCTCTATGAGGGGAATAGGCATCTAGCAACTAAATAAAAATAACAAATAATAATAGCTGTGACAGCCCAAGGCCCAGTGGAGCCAAAAAAAATCACCCTTGCAAATTCACCCATCTGCAGTGCAGACCACATGTATCAGTCGTCTGCTGGCCATGAGTCTGATGTGTCACTGATCTGTACATTTGGTAGGAAGTTGGAGTAAAGGAAATGTCATTTTCCCTCCCCGCTTTCTCAAGTAACCTCTCAGGATACAAATTTATGACAATACCTTTTGAAGTGCTTTGATCTTGCAATTGGGCCCAGATTTTTAAAGTGGGTTGAAGCAATCTAGACTTGAAAGCAAACATCTTCACAGTGGGCACGGAGCGGAACGACAGAAGGCCTCTCCTCCTCGAATTCCTCTTGAAACAAATAGAGCTTGCATGCGCCAGCTCTGCTTCTCTGGACAGCTTCTTGATCCTTATCTTGGAAACTGGAAGTATTTGGTGCAAACTTAGATGCTGCTCATTTATTGGTGTTTTAGGAAAAACAAAAGCCTCTTGCACAAAACGAAATCATCTTCCAGCATCGTGTGGGGAATTTGTGGGCGAAGCTCCCCCAATGGCATTTTTGGGGGCACACTGAGAGTTCTCTCGTGACAGGTTTGTGTTACTTAAATACAGATTGCAGCTAAGCAAGGGATGGATCGGGATGTCCCAGAGATATGTAACTGGTCCAGGCTGGGACTTTCCAGGAAGATGCAGAGGCCCTGAACTTGGCACTGCTTAGAAGGGAGGAAAAACGCCTTTGGGCATTGCTGCATAATACATGACCCAACTCCTTGAAATGTGGGCCCTTTCCCCCTAAATGAAGAAGGGGTGGGGAGGGGGTCAAGATATATTGTCAGCTCCTTTTCAGCGCTGCTGTTTTCTGTTACTGGATACAGAAAGGGGCTGAGGGAGGGGAGCGAAGCCACCTGTTGGATTTTGACACTTGGCGGGGGGAGGCCATTGCCCTTTTCAACAGTGTCTGCCTGTCCTCTTTTTCTCCCTGCCTGTCTCCCTCGCTGCTTCCCTCCCGTCTCTCAGGGTTCTGTTTACAACCATCCCATTGTGGTTCTTGGGCTGGAAGCAGCTGGGTGGACTGTTTCAGGCTCAAGTGTAATTTCAGCTTCTTCAAAAGCCTTTAGAGGCCACCCCCCCTCCTCCCGCAATCCCGGCCCGCTCTCCCCTCTGAAGAGGACAGCCACGCCAACAAGGGGATAATTTGATGGATTACTCTGCAGGGCTGAGAGGCTCTTGGCTAATCCCTTTTGTGTGTCTGTTGGACTAGACGCTGAGCAGAAGCCCTAGCCTCAGGCAGAGAAAAGGCTGCTCAGCAGGGTGGGTTTTACACACTGACATATAAATGCAAGGACTCTGGTCATGTGGTGCAGGGCTTTAATCCCTGCCCACTACCATGGCCTAGAGGTTAAAGGGGGGGCACCTGTTTGGGGCTGCTTTATGTTTTTCCCACTTGGTTTGATTTACATTTTTATTCTTCTGTTAATAATAACTTGGAGAAGCAGGAGGGGGGAAGCAGACAAGATGTTGGAGCTATGGGCATAGGCCGAGGGTGGGGCCCCCGCCTGTCTTGATGCCAGTGTGTCTGGAAACTCTGGCTGCTCATTTGACCAAACCTTACGGGCGCCGAGTTGTTAGCAGATCTCCGTTTCCTGCACAGAGTTGCAGTTCCCAGAGTAGCAGAACAACCAGTCCCAGGGAATGGGTCAGCACCCTTCACAAACTACAGTTCCCAGGATCCTTTGCAGGGGGTCATGACTCTTTAATATGGGATGGTGTTGCTTTAAATGTATGGTGCCAATGGGGATTAAGACTATACAGTAAAAATGAATGGATAGCCAATTTCGGACTTTATGCCTAAAGCACACACTCTCTCCTGCTTTGCTTAATATTTGTCCTGATGAGGTTTTGGTGGAGTTGAAAGCTTTGTGGCATTTTGGTTGGTCATTAATTCATAGTAAAGGGACTTTGGAGGGTTAAAAAAAAAAGCAGTGGTTTAACCCTTAGCCATGCATTCTGACATAGGCCATCTCTTTCTCTGCGTAGTTTATTTGGTGGGTTTCTTTCTGAGAAAAGCTTATTTATTTGGCATGCAAAGGAGTGACAAATATCCCCCCAGGAGATGACATCATTGTCCCCGATGTAAAATACGTGGTGGAACTGTGTCCCTCCCTGTCCCTGCTACCATTACATCACTGTTCTCATCACCCTTGTGTCCTGCACTTTTTCCGCAGAATTCAATTTGGCATGTGTATGAGGTGATTTTATTTTATCCCCACAGGTTAGGCTGAGAAATGGAGACTTCGAGGCCACCCAGCGAGCTTTGTGGCTGTTAGGGCTCTGTGCCATACACACTCTGCCCACTTGGTCCCCACGTTTTGTGGCTACTCTTGAGACATGACCCTGTTCTGTGGCATAGCTTCTAGTACCTTTTACGAAAGAAGTCTAAGTTTCAGAAAAGGCGGGCTGCCATGTGAACCCTTACTGGTACCATAATCTGTTATTTTTGCCTCTGATTTTCTGGAGGGTCTTGTTTATTTACCATCACGTTAGTACCAGACCCCCTGACCTGTTTTATCTCCTCCTGCTGTGGTCATCTTTAATGCTTTTGATGAGGTATGCTGTGGAAAAATGAGGTGGTAGCCAGATCTTTCTCTCCCTCCCTTTTTTTTCAGTGCCCCCACTCATAAATCCTCATTCACTCCTGTTTGAGTAGCTTCAAAATGTTCCATCCAATGCTTGCCTTAATTTTAATCGTTCAATTTTATTTATAACTCTTGTTTTGAAACAGAAATAGTTTTCAAATGGCTGTTACTGGCACACCCCACCTCCTTTCTGGTGAACGTAGGTTGCTGAAAATCAAAATGGAATCTCAGTGCTATAAATGACCATTTTTTATTTTGGAAAGTCAAAACAATTGACAGGTGGGTGTTGTTGTTGGTTGTCTTTTGGCAAAGATGTTAAGATTTACTGCACAATACGGTTTATGTTTACACAGAGGAAAGACCCACTGTGTCAAATGGCATTTGTTTCCTAGCTAAGTATGGGGAAAACCGCAGCCTTAGAGTTTGTACGCATGGTGTGCAAATGTGTGCTCAGAGCTGGATGCAGGTGTCATTTGGGGTTGCCATACATGTGATACCATCCCCATAGCATCCCTGCCTCGCAATATTTGCCAATCTAAAATCTCAATCTAAAGCTCATTCTCCTGGAACAGTTATAATCCATTTTGTGCCAAGAATGTACTTCTCAAGTGCTTGCTGCATACACAGAGAGCACTTTCAGATCACCTCCTATTGGAACAGGCCACACCAGGGGTTTTCAACCTTTTTGAGTCCACAGCTCCCTTGACCAACTACATTCTTTCTGCGGCACTCCTGTGGGCCTCAGGAGCCCAGTTATGTCACCCCTTGCCTGCAGAGCTGGCAGCCTCTCACCCTTTTTCGAACACCCTCCCTTGTGGAGTGTTCCCTCAGCTTCTTCTCCCCTGTCCTTGGGAGTCCTCTGGGCAGCCACTGCTGTTGCCCCTGCCCCAAAGAGAGGTACCTCCTCACACTGCCCCACAAGGGCCTGAGATTTGTCTGTCCATTTCCAACAGCAAGGGCTGGCAGACTGGCTGGCCGGGCTCCCTCGCCCGTTTCCTTGCTGACCCCAAGGCCGCCTTAGCTTCTGGTAACTAGCACCCCCTGGCCAACCCTAGAGGCACAATTTGCCTGGGGAGCTTGTAGCCAGGGCTGCTACAACAAACAGCTGTGCAAGCCTTTGGGAGACAGATGTGAGAGGGCATCATAGGAAGGGAGGGAAGGAAAGGGGGACAGAGGCCAGTGTTGCCCATGGCATCCCTGATCATCCTTCAAGGCACCCCAGTGTGCCGTAGCACACTGGTTGAAACCCCATCACCATGTTTAACTTGTCCATGAATAAAGGCAGAATAGGAAGCAGCACATTAACCTGTGACTTTATACCGTATACTGTACACTGTATACACATCCCCACCTGTATACACAGATAGTAGCTGCCACTTTAGAAGACGTTATTGCGCAAATGTGTGTACACTTGCAAACTGCTTTGTAAAAAAGCACACTGTGAAACAGTGACCCCTGTGCATTTTAAGGCCCACATGTGTACAGAACATGAAGTTAAATTCTCACGGAAGAACTGAGAAATGCCTCCATTTGGCAACCGAATGCTGATTTGTAAATCTTAGAGAGGAGACTCTACATTTCCAGATTGTGAGGTTTCTTGGTTCTTTGCATTTGAACCCAGGGAAGCTTCTATATTCAAACCTATGTTTCTGCCTTCCTCTTTGGATAATAAGGGATTTCCAGCAGCATGTCATTAGCCTTGCTGCCTGGTATAGGGCCAGTAATGTAATCGAGGCCTCAGCTCACCGGAAACCTGGAGCTAATTCAGGGAGATGAAATGAAATAAATTACAACTGTGCTTCCATCCCTTCCCTGCTACAGAACACATTTTAGGAAGTGGGGGTGGGGAAGGGGGTCAGGTGAGTTCCATTCCAACATACAACATAGCCAGAATTACACCATGGTGTATTTCATATTCAGCCAGTTGGTTCCAGATTTTCTGGTACATTGGCCTTAAATGTAAACAAAATGCTCTGCACGCGAGCCATATTCTAGTCAAGAGCGACAGTCTGGGCTAGAGATCAGGGACAAGGCTGGGGGAAAATTGAATTCCAGGCCAGAGACTGGAAAGGAAAGAGACTGACCACATAACAACTGCCCCCCCCCCATTCATGATTGAGATCCAGCATGTATAAGCTTATTGGACTGTTACCCAAATAAAGGAGTACTAGTCAATTAATTACATGTGTTCTAGTTGGCTTTTAAATCTATATATAACAGTGAACTTTTGAATGGGAAAGGAGCATGTTTTTACATGATGAATGCATGTATTGTGGCAGGCACCGAGTGAGGTGTGAATGTGTCCGTGAAGAGAGAGAGAGAGAGAGAGAGAAGAAAGAATGCCTCTGTTAAGATTGTATTAAACCACCCTTCTCTCTTTCTTTTTTTGGGGTAAATTATTCCACCAACTATAATTAACTATTTTAAAAAGAAACCAGTCACAGTATAATGCCCCTCGTTCAGCCTTTGCCAACCTGGTACCCTCCAGATGTTTTGGACTACAACTCCCATCAGCCCTGAGCCAGCTGGCTGAGGCTAATGGGAGTTGCAGTGCAAAACATTTGGAAGGTTGGCAAACGCTGCACTAGTAGTAGATCAGTAGCTGAGGGAACCTGTGTGAGCATTGGAGAGTATGAGGAGAAGAGAGGTGGGCAGGAGAGGATTTGCTGCAGTGCCCATTTGCTTTTGGGCCATTACCTGCCACCCCATTGGCTCCAGTTTTCTGTCCTTCACAGGTATGGCCTTTGTGCCCTCCTGCTTTCCATGTGGGGAGGGCAGATTTGGATTATGGCTCGCATTTTTTAAATCTATCTTTTTTAAAAAAGAAAACTATGCGTAGTTGCCAAGTCACACAATTTCACACATTTATGTCCTGCAATGTTTTATTTTAATTTTAAAAACCAAATTTGGTCCAATTTCGTACTCGTAAAAATACCCGAAAGAGATGCCAGAATTTAATTTAACACAGCTGCCCTGAGGGAATTGCTGTACTTTGCGCTGGGATATATGTTTCAGAATTTGCACTGATGCCCTGCCTTTACTCCATTAATATTGGTTCAGATATTGCCTAGTTGTGGAGTACAGTCTTCATAAAAGTGTTACTAACAGGCAGCTTGTTTGGACTAATGATAAAACCACGGTTTATCATGACCGGAGACAAGCCACAGTGAGCTGCGCTCCAGGTTCAACCTTTAGCATCTCCAGGTAAGCATAGTTAAGATTAATTGCTTTAGGGCTTGGGCACTTAGGCCTGGTTAGCACACAATGCTAAGCCAAACTATAAGAGACCCCTGACCATTAGGTCCAGTCGTGACCGACTCTGGGGTTGCGGCGCTCATCTCGCTTTATTGGCCAAGGGAGCCGGCATACAGCTTCCGGGTCATGTGGCCAGCATGACTAAGCCGCTTCTGGCAAACCAGAGAAGCACATGGAAGCATCGTTTACCTTCCCGCCAGAGCGGTACCTATTTATCTACTTGCACTTTGACATGCTTTCGAACTGCTAGGTTGGCAGGAGCAGGGACCGAGCAACAGGAGCTCACCCCGTCACAGAGATTGTAACCACTGACCTTCTGATCCGGCAAGCCCTAGGCTCTGTGGCTTAACCCACAGCGCCACCCGCATCCCTAAGCCAAACTATGCCTTAGCATGAATGAGCAAATGTGCTGGTGCACAATAATAATAAAAAAGCCACTGCTTTGCCCCTCTTCTGCTGTTCCCTTGTTACTGAGAGAACTTGAGCTCGTGGATTGTTTCATGCCAAACAAACCATGGACTGTAGCCAAAGCTTGTTCTTAGTTTACAATTCATGATTTATTTGGGGGGAGACAAACCATGAGCCTGCCTGGGTTCATGCACATTACTAAGCCAAACCATGGCTTAGCTCCCAGTAGCATGGCAGCAGTGGGAGGCAGGGAACTTCATGGCTGAGTGGGGATTCGAACCCTGCTCTTCCAGGTCCTAGTCCAACACTCTAACCATTACGCCACCCAGCAATCTTTGATCACTGGGCATGCTTTGTATACATTGGACTATTTTAGGTGTGTCATTCCTCTGCCCCCCCATATTTTTTCTGAAGACTTTCCTTGTGTGTAGATGGTGCCATTTGGGGTACATGATGATGATGATTTGGGGTACACTCACCTCTGAACTTCAGATATAGAGTGAAGGTTCATGAATCCCATTATTGTGAGCCACCTTGAAGAGACTGCAAAGTGAAAAAGCAGCATACAGATACTTTAAAAAGTTCCAGTTCTCAACAGAGGCTGTAAATGATAAAGGAATTAAGTGCATATTTGATGTTACAATACAGTTGGATACTAGCACAGTGTTAAATCCTATTCTTTTTCGGTGAGAGTAACTCCTCTTGGAAGGATTTTCTGAATTTTGAATGATTTTGTCCCTGCCCAATAACATTTTCTTAAAAAACACTTGTGACTGGAAGCTGGAAAGTTGTGTGTGTGTGTGTGTATCTAAATGGGGAAGTGTTTTATCTGGGCTTGGCAGCTGCTGTAGAATCCTATCTTTTTTGCTCTGTCACTGTTGTCCAGCTTGCACATCCATGAAGAAAAAGAGCTGTTTTCCACGACTTTGCAGAGCAAAATAGGAGGAGAGTTGTCCTGAAACTGCAGGAATGCTAAACATCCAGGCTTGTTTGATTGCCTGGCCATTATCAGAACTGTGCTGTCCTCCCAAGCTGTGCTTTTAAACCTTCCCTTTGTCTAGCTTTCCCCCTTTAAATCAAGTTGAGGCCCAGCCCACTTACCTGGTTTCCAGGTGAGGAAGTTCTGATGAGTTGTTCTGTTGTTTCTTGGGGGGAAATGTAGTTCATTTTTCATCAGGTAGGGCTTGTGTATACTGTACTGTGTATACCTTTTTCAGGAGAAAGCAGACCCGTCTCAGCTCTCTGCCTGATCTGTTTAGACACCAGTGACTATACTGCATTCATGAAAGGCAGTTGCTTATTTTTTTATTAATAAAACTGCATATTGCATAATACAAATGCAAAGAGCAGATGGTTTATAGATGTATTCATAATTCACAGCTTAACAGAATATGCATTTAAGTAGCAAGATAACATCTGATCATTTTAATGGAAATCTTGGAGGGGATTAAACACACTGGGACAAATTGCATCTATTTACTTAGAGACAGTTTGAGTGTGGAGGTTAGTTTCCATTGTATCATTACATTTAGCATCTATTTAGTAAGCTGGGCTAGTTAGTATACAGAATATCGCGATACACTCTTTGCCAGGAATGCTTACAGTCCGTGGATGAATACAAGTCATTTACTGAGTGGCAGCTTGCCACAGGAACCCCTTTCCAGTTGGGTTGGGATCCAGCTACAGGTCTTCCTGGTTGTCGTCCAACACACTAACCACTACACCACACTGCCTCTCCAAATAGGAACATATACCAAGCCAGACTAGTGGTCCATTTAGCTCAGCATTGTCAATTGTGCATTGATTGGCAGTGGCTCTTCAAGGCTTCAGATAAGGAGATGCAGCAGATTGAATTTGGGAACTTTTGCATGTCCTTTGCTTACGGGCTACAGTCCTTCCCGGGGGATATCTATTTCTGTGCCTTACATGCAGACCTTTTTGCCCTTCATGATTTCCAATCCCTTTGCAGTATCCATCCATGTGTCCTTCCAGGTTTCCACACTGCCAAAATACCCAAATCCGTCAACCAAGTGTCTTTGAAAATAAGCAGGTGTGCGCATGCTGGACTGAACTTTGGTGCAGAATTTGGCAGAATGTCTTTGACACGGAGTTTCTGGAGAGGGGCAGGTGGGCATGTGGCCAGCAAAGGTGTGAACAGGACAACTTCATTACAGTGATGGGACCACTGCTTTATTTTCAGCGTGGTGGGCTCCAAATGTACCTCTGTGGCTGGGACTCTTCCCCTATATAGCATCTCATTTGACTGTGTGCCTACAGATCCGGTCTGCCAGCAAACCTGTTGTGGTGGAGATCAGTGGTTTATAATATATGCTTGTTCTCCACAGGGACTATTATTTGTAGCCAAACTGGCACCTGCCAAATGCAGAGTATCAAATTATCCTAACAGTTTCCCTTCTTCCGCCACAGTTTTTCCATACAACTGAGAAATAACCTGGGGCAGCTCCACCCCATTCATTTAATGATGGGGGACAATGCCCGGGTCATGCTGCTTGTTCTCCATGCTAAGTTTGCACCTGAAACTGCAGTAAAAAAGGAGCTTTTCGAAAATAAGCCGCAGTTGTATTAGGAACAGCACAACATTGGTTCTCCCTTGGGTAGTTCTTCCTTTTAGTTCTGTCCTAATTGAAACGGTCCCAGACCAAATCCTTAACTTGGCGTAGCAGCCAGATCTCTTGGCATCTATGAAACTTGGATGAAAACAGGGATAAGCAGACCAGTTCCTATATAGGGGCTTTGAGACAGTGAGTGCTATACAGTGACATTGTACTGGGTAAGCTGCTCATGGAGTGCATAAGTGTGGCATAGTTTTTATTCCATACTGGTTCTCTGCAGATGATCTTGCATCCCACTTCAGTACCAACTTGTCTGTTCTGAAGACCACGCTCACAGTAACCTGTGCTGTCAAGGCTGGCTTTCCACTTCTGGGGCCCCCACAGTCCCATCCCAGGTAGGGCTCTTGTGCATTTTTAACATCTGTGCGAGAAATTCAGCAGAATGAAGCATTGCTTTCCATGAAATGCAGAGATTTCGTTCACCTGTTGGATTACTGTCTGTAATGCTAGTGCAAAACACTGGGAGACTGAGGAGCCCTCTGGACAGGGAAAGCAGGAAAGTTGTCATTAGCACTGCGAGGCTTTTAAAGAAGGTCCTCTGCTCCGTGGCACAGTGGTATTTCCAGAAAGAGAAGCACATAGCACATTGTAAGTGGAACATCAATGTTGCATCGGGCACTCTCTCTGTAAAACAGGGGTTGGCAGACTTCAGCTTTGTTTTTTTACTAGAACCCCAAGATCTGCCTACCAAAACGGCAGGAGCAACAGACATTTCGCTCAGGGTTTCTTGGAGCACATTCCGAGTTTAGGAATTGGTTTGCATTACTAATTGCTGTTTTTAAAAAGCAATTTTGTTGGGGATATTGTCAAACCATTGCTGATCTGGAAACCTTTGATCTGGAAACCTACTGCAAATCTACCAGTAGATCCTGATCTATCGCCTGTTCATGCCTGCAATATACAGTAGTTTGCAATGTGGATTCTTTGGTGATGGCAACAGCAAGGGAAAAAAAGGCAGGGAGGGCTCCCAAACCAAATAGGATAGGTGTGCTGAGTATAGGTTAACTCCTCCTCCTTTCTGCAAACTAATGCACTACCTCTTAGAGTGGTGCACTCTCTGTGTCTGGGTCAGGCTCACTTTGTTGAAGAAGCTTTGTCTGAGGGGATGAAACCAATGTGCTGGGAGCTCACCTGTTGCCCCGCAGCCTCAGAAGAGAATCGGGTGAGTTTGTTCTTCGCGTTAGAGATAAGTGGTGGTTTTTCAGAAGTTTTTGGAGGCAGGAATAGCATGATCCTGTTGCTTTCTTGACTGTGTGCTGTGTTTTCCTGTTTCATCCTGTTAATTCTTCTGATCTCCCTCCCCCCTCCCCCTCCGTGAAGAGAGAGACAAATGTTTTGAGAGAAGCAGAATTTCACATCCAAAGCTTGACGGTTGTGTGACATATAATTATTGAAATATTGCAGCAGGAAATTCTACTGGGGACACATTCCCCCCCACCCCATAAACTACTATAGTAGGGGAAAGGAATTATGTGGTAGCCAGGAATTTCTCTCGGTTTCTGCCTGTTAACACATCCTTGCCTTCAATGTGTGCCAATAAATCCAGGCTAAAGGGTATGAATTTAGCCTTGCATGTGAGAGAGAACATCAGGATCCTAGGTTTTGACTTGTCTGGTGTTTAGTATTGAAGCAAAGCAGAATAATAGACTTGTCATCTAGTCCAACCCTCTGCAATGCAGGAAACTTTTCCCCAATGTGGGGCTCGGACCCAGGACCCTGAGATTAAGAGTCACATGCTCTACCGACTGAGCTATGCTATTGATCTTGATGAGGGAACTGCAGAAACTGGAGAGACCTAGAAGATGGTCTAATTCAAGCTTTACCAGTTTCCCCAATAAGTACGGTACTATATGAATCATTTTGTTACAGTATCTCAAATGTGTGTCCTCTAACCATCCCTGTCATCTGGGGAACTTGTTAAGAGAACTTAACAGGACTTACTTAATGTGTAAGATCAAAAGTTCTCAACACATCCTTCATCACAGTCCGTGCTTTCATCTTTAGTTGAATCATATAGGACTGATGAATTCAAAGCGCTTATGACTGTGTGGGGGAAGTAATCTCATACCAGTGCTCCATCTAACCATCCTAATCAACAATGTAATGAGCAAAATGGTGTCCTTTATATGTATGGAGGGGGGTATGTGGATGGGTGGGTTCATTTGCCGACTGAGTAAATCTTGCAGATGTGAAGAACTGACCCTTGCCAAGTGGGTCACTACTCAGAATTATTAGAAAGTAGTCGGTAGAGCATGAGACTCTTAATCTCAGGGGTTTCAGCCCCATGTTAGGTGAAAGATTCCTGCATTCCAGGGGGTTGGGCTAGATTATCCCTTTGGTCTCATCCCTTTGGTCTGTGATCCCACAAGAAACACAACTTTGGGGTGTAAATAGTTTTATCCTTTCCAGCTTTGAAAGCTGGGGAAACCTCCTCTCATCTGCATGATGATATCTACCCACATTCCAGCCCTCTCCCCTCCGCAGTTAGTTAACAGTAAAGATGGGTTTCCATATTCGAGGAAGAAGAAAAACCCATTGGGAGTCTATAGCATCTCCCTTTAGGAGATGAAGGATCTTGAGTTGGCTTCCATCCCCAAAGTGCTGTGCGCTAACTTCCCCCCTGTTTTGCTCTACGTGGCTTGTGCATCTTCTCCCTCTACCTTGGTCATGGTTTTCCCCCCTAAGCGTACAAAGGAAATGTGCTCTTCTGTAGTCTCATTAAAAACCATGAAGATGGGTGAGAGGTGAATGAATTGTTTGGAGAAGGGAAGGATGTCAGGCATGAAAATGTCTGTACCAGTTATGTGTAGAATGAAGATGACAGCCCCATGAACTTCTCAACTCCAAGCAAAGCCTTTAAGGACTATAATTGCTTCTCCGGCGAAAGGTTGGTGTGCCTGGGATACAGTTGTACACACAGGCTTTCTCCAAAGCCACATAAATTTCAGGCAGTTAACTACCTAATAGGAGTTGGCTTCTTCTGGGTTATTCCTCTGTATATACGATGACCTCAGAAGAAGTTAGAGAGGCGTGGGCCTTGCGGATTACCTGGATGCATCATGCAGCCGTTTGCCTTGGTTGGCTGTTGGAGAACATAACTCAGTGACAGGCCTGTCATCACTTTCCCAGCTGAGATAGGTAAGTCTTGATGTGGCAATGTCTCCGGAGAGTCTGCAGGGAGAACGCCTTGCAAATGAGAGGTGCCGCCGGCCGGCTCAGTAAAGGCAGAACTCTTCATATTTTAACACTTGAAAAATTCAGGCACCTTTTCCATTAACTGCTTCCCAAACCCCGAATGTTTGCGGTGTACGGTATCTTGGTCCCCCTTTTAAATTTTGTTTTAGAACAGGCATAGGCAAACACGGCCCTCCAGATGTTTTGGGACTACAACTCCCATGATCTCTAGCTAACAGAACCAGTGGTCAGGGATGATGGGAATTGTAGTCCCAAAAACATCTGAAGGACCAAGTTTGCTTATGCCTGTTTGAGAAGTTTATCATTTGACTTTTAAACTGAACATCACTGTGATGAGCCCGTGAGGATACTTCTCCTGAAAGGCTTTTAAAATACTTTAATTAAGTCAATTAATAAAATTCGACATGGGCAGGTTTCATGATGATAACAAATGCTGGGGATTGGCCATTGGTTGAATTCTCCTGAACAAACCCATTCAGATGTCCGTGGTCTGCTCAAGAGAGGGATACTTCCTAAGTCACATGGGCTCTGTGTCATTGTGTGTCCCATTCTAGGAAATGGGACTACCTCAAGCTGTCTTGAGAGGGCTGTTTCCTGCCTGTTTTTAATGGTGTTTCTCACTTAAGAATTCTATCCCTTTTATTAAATGACCAAAAGAGTCCAGAAAGGAAGAACAAACCTTAAATTTGGAAGAATACTGTATTCCTCTAAAGAAAAGGGAGTATCTGTGGGCACCAGATGCGTCTGATTCAGACGTTGTGGTTAAGTGACCTCAGAAAACCCCCCACTTTTTAGCATACCCTTTTAGAAGGCTGTAGAATTTTTATTTACATTCTGCCATATAATAAGTCAGACTGTTGGTTCATCTCGCTCCATACTGTCTACTCTGACTGGCAGCAGCTCTCCAGGATTTTGGGCAGGGATTTCTCCCAGACCTACCTGGAGATACCAGGGACTGAACCTGAGACCTTCTGCATGCAAAGCAGATGTCCTACCACTGAGCTGAATTCCTTCCACATCTCCCTAACTCTGGTGGATTTTGACATAGAAGCACAAAAACTGTAAATGTCCTTGATCTTTACATGCTGGTTCAGGAACTGGTAGGATACGTTTGCCCCAGGGTTTTTTTTGGGGGGGGGCATTTGAGTGCATGTGATGCACACTGGATTTTGGCCTGTACCAGAAGTCTAAACTTGCTCATTGTGGAAGGTTTGCTGGTTCTTAGTCCCCTTATTAAGGGAAAACTGCTTTGTGGCCTACATATTGTGGGTATTAGCCTCAGAGCTCCAGCAAAGACAAACACAGTGGCTTAAGGATAAACTGCGTGCTAAAGAGATTCATTATGATGGAATATTAAACTTCCAGTTTTATAGCAACAGGTAAGGCATGTCTTAGAGACAGTAGCGCCACCTACTGTTGTATTTTGGTGTTTCTCTTAACCTGTTTCTTAGCAAAGGTGGATTGTGTTTCAGGCACATGATGGTTAGGGTTAAAGTTCTCTCTCAAAAGAAGTGTATGCTTATTTGTCTGCATGCTTCTTTGCTCTCTTATTATATACATGACTGAGCAGTTGCTTGGTAGAGAGGGGAAATGTTTGAAAGGCAAATAAATAGCTCAGTGGCAGTAATTTGGGCATCAGATTAATCAGTATATTAACTACAATCAGAGTCTAGGGGGTTGGTTTTATTGGAGGATATGGAACAAAACAGCATCTGTTTCGTCCAGCTACGTGCCCCCATTTTGACAACCAATAAGAAGGTATGGTGTGTTTTCTTTGCCGAGAAGGGCTCAGGAGGAAGCTTTGAGTTTGAATGGGAGCAGCAATGGGGACAGTAGGTGTCACAGCTAGTTCCTCAAAGGACTGGGGTGGGCACAGGTTTATGCAACCAACTTTGCATAAAAGTTGTATATGCTAATTTATATATGTTTTTCCAGGTTTAGGCCCAAAGCCATTCTGTAAGCAAAGAATAGAAATGTTTTTAAAAGTGTGTGTGTGTCTAGGATCCAGGGGCCATCGCAAAAGACCTGAGGCTCAGGTTGTTGGTCAACCCCTTAAATACACTTCTGCCTTATTTTTTATGAAACCCGTTTGGAAGGAGGAGGAAGCCTCAGTTCTTCCCCCCCTGGTTTTGCTAGCAGCACCTTCAGCAAAAAGCAAAAATTAAACAGAAAAGTCTGCCTCCTTTGCTTCCACATACAGCGGTACCTCTGGTTGCAAATGCGATCCGTTCCGGAGGCCCATTTGCAACATGAAAAGAGCACAACCCGAAGTGGCGCATCTGCGCATGTGCTGGTTGCGATTCGCCGCTTCTGCGCATGCGCGTGATGTCATTTTGAGCTTCTGCACATGTGCGAGTGGCGAAACCTGGAAGTAACCCTTTCCGGTACTTCCGGGTCGCCGCAGGATGTAACCTGAAAGAACATAACATGAAGCAAACATAACATGAGGTATGACTGTAATTTACTTGTTCATGGCTCTTAATGATCATTCCCCTCCCACTCATTTCACTCACTATCCAGCATATACCGCAATATTCTATTTAGCAATTCCTAAGCAGCACTGCTGTTCTAATAGTACAGGTATGTAGTAATGGCACTTCACATCTTCCCTCTCCGCAACAAGTTCATTCTTCATGAATGAAAATGCAGCAGGTTGGAAACTTGCTAAGCTCAATCCTATATGTGTTTCTTCCATATCAGACTTAAGGGGCAGTGGCGCTTACCTGATCTCTGGGTGGTTGTATTCAGTGCTATTTTTCTAGAAAAAGAGGTACCGGAACTCAGTACGGATGTCTCCTTTGTTCTCTTACGATGGCAATAGAGCTCACCTGAGTGGTGCCAGAACTGAGTTCTGGCTGGGGGGAAAAAACCTGGTTGCATTGCTCTTGCCAGAGGGTGGTGAGTTTGGCTTGGTGCAACCATCCGCAGCTGTGTTTCTTTAAAAGTACCGGTAAGTGCCTGTGAGTTCAGTGGGACTTACTCCGCAACAGGTGCAGAAAGGGTTACAGTATATACCCTTGCAGTGCCATCATGTCCATATTTACTTGGAAGCCTGTCCTACTGACTTTAATGTTTATGCATGTTTGAAACATAAGAACAGCTCTCCGTGATCAGCCCAAAGACCTATCGTTCAGCATCCTATTTCCCATGTTTGCCAACTAGATGTTTCCTCTTTTAAAACCAAACTAGTGGCCATCACCTCATTCCCAGAGCAGTGAATTCCATAGATGAATCATACACTGTGTTTATACTTCCTCTTTTAAGTCCTGAATTTACTGCCAGTTCACTTCATTGGATGACCTCCAGGTCCAAGTATGATGAGAGATAGAGAAAGTCTTCTCTGTCCACTTTTTGCACAAAGTACATAATTTTATAAACCTCGGTCATGTCTGCTTTTACTCACATTTTTTTAAAAAACTAAAAAGACTTGGATGTAAAGGAGATGTTTTAGCCCCCACTCCACCATTCTAGTCGTTGTTTTCTTCACTTGTTACAGTTTTACACTGATTTATTTGAGATGTTATGGCTGGAACTGTACACAGTACACAGTGTGTGGCCGCACCATAGAGTTGTAGAAAGGCTTTATAATACTGGCGGTGATCCGTTTCGTAATGATTGCTAGCATTAAAATTGCCTTTTTCATAGCCTTTTTTCATAGCTGCTGAAAACTGAGTTGACCTTTTCGCTGAGCTCTCCACCCTAACTCTGGATCTCGTTCTTGGTTAGGATTCTTTTGCCCAAATGCGCATCGTTTTCTATATTTGCTCACGTTTGACTGCATTTCCCACTTTGTGGCCCATTCATCCAGTGTCTGGTAGTGCTTTGAAGCATGGCAGATCAGCTGATCCTTGCACTTCAAAATGCCAAGGAAGACTCCTTGCAATCCCCTTCAAAGATTAGCTGGCTATGGAGCTCCCCATGGGGAACTTCGTAGTGCAGCTGATTCCAGGGAGCTTGAGCTGAGCACCCATCAGCTGATAAGAGCTGACTTCAAACTCTGTTTTTCTGCTGTGCCTGGTGGCGAGAGCAACTCAGCTAGGACTGACTGTGCTGTTGGCCAGCCAGCTGACTGTCTGACTGGTGGTGAGAGAAAGTCTCCCTTTCCAGTGTACAGTTGGGAGCACAATTTAAGGCTCTTTCCTGACTGTGCATTGGCAGCTGCATCTGCACCTGCCCCTTTCCTGAGGATGTCACGTATGACATCAGGTGTGGGGCAGGTGGGCATTGTGTGTGGGTAAACAGCCTTGTGTCCAAATTGGGATCTGTGCCAAGCCAGAGAAGGCCTGTGAGCCAGAGATTCCCAATCCCTGATTTAGCCAGGTGGAGGAAGATCATTCTTTATTGGGAACAAAGAAGCTGCTGTTAAAACATGTTTTGAAGGTGGGAAAGAGTTGCAGTGAGGGTGAGCTACTCAGCGGAGGAGTTTGCTTTATGGTTTCATAGCAATCTAGCAGTGTTTCCACTTCAGAAAATTTGCTACTGATGTATGTTGTGCTCAGTTTTTTCCCTCTCTCTCTCTCTCTTTCCTTCTGCAGAATGTGAAGCACTGGAAGATGTCCAAGCTATTAATCTTCTCATCCTGAGCCAAAACTCTTGATTTTTACCAGCAGGCAACATTTTAGAAGTTGTCCACTGCTGGCTATAACATGGCTGCCGACCTTTTGCTACTGAGCCACAAAAGAAAACACAGGACTCTGAAATCCTGCTCTGGATCATCCTGAGGAGAACAGTGTTAGGTGCGCACAACTCTCTGATGTTGCGGTGCAACGGTGGCATGGCTCAGAGGGCCTGGGTCAGCATGCTCTTCCAGAACCGCAAAGCCCAGCTATTACTGGTCAACTCCCTGACTTTTGGCTTGGAAGTCTGTCTGGCTGCCGGCATCACTTACGTGCCACCTCTCTTGTTGGAAGTGGGAGTGGAGGAGAAGTTCATGACTATGGTTCTGGGTAGGTGGCATTATTCATGTTATTGTTAGATGGCCATTTTCTGTGTGAGATCTAGTGTGGTGGAAAAGAAGTCTACAGTAGTCCCTCTATGTACAATGCGTGCAACATGCCCATTATTGTTGTATGTACAGGGAGGGCCTCAATATGGTAACGACCCCAGAGGAACTGCCAGGCAGGTTTAAGAGAGAACTAGACAGGTTTTCAGGGAATAACATAGCTGTCAACCTTCCTTTTTGCGGGAAATTCCCTTATTCCAGCGCCGTTTCCTGCTGCTATCCCAGATTGTTAGATATCCTGTAGACTGTTCCCGGGACAGGTAAGGCTGCTGATCCCTTATTTTAAATCTGAAAGTTAACAGCTATGTAATGGTGAATTCATTTTGGATACCAAACCTGAGGGCTTCTAAGAGTCTGAATTCCAGGGGGAAGAGAAGATAGTTTTAATTGTGCACTGGAAACTGGGGCTTTATCTGTAGTGAAATGGAATCTCTAGATATGGTGCACACTGTAATGCATGCCCACTTAGTGAAACTTGAGGCCTAGTTTGCATGTCATGGTAAGCCACTAACTATGAGCAGTAGCCAAGGTTTAGTCTGGTTTGGGTGGTACAAGAGGTACAAGACTAAAAAATAAATCAGGGAGCAGCAAAGTGGCTGTGCATCTCTTCCTGGAAGCCTGCAGGTTTGTTTTTTTAATGCTATGTTTTTATGTTGTGACAGTGACTGGCCCTAAGTCACCCAGTGAGCCTCATGGCTGGGGGGTTGGGGTTGGAGCGCTGCTTTTCCAGGCCAAAGTTTGACTGAGTCTCTCCCCAGATTATGTGAGTGATCTCATGGGCCTGCAGAGTGACTATCTTGTCAACTTCTTCCGCCTGATGAAATGACGTTCTTTTCCTCCCCTTAATTCCAGGGATTGGGCCAGTTCTGGGCCTAGTGTTTGTGCCACTCATCGGTTCCGCCAGCGACCAATGGCATAGCAGCTATGGCCGCCGCCGGCCTTTCATCTGGGTCCTGTGTCTGGGAGTTTTACTGAGCCTTCTGATCATCCCTCATGCACAACGACTGGCCAGCCTCATTGCCTTGGACACCCGCTCCCTGGAGATCGCCTTCCTTATAACGGGCATTGGCCTGCTTGACTTCTGTGGCCAAGTCTGCTTCACCCCTCTGGAGGCTCTCCTCTCCGATCTCTTCAAGGAGCCTGACAACTGCCGGCAGGCCTTCGCTATGTACTCTTTCATGGTTAGCCTGGGAGGCTGCATTGGGTACCTGCTGCCGGCAATTGACTGGGACAGTAGCTTCCTGGCTCCTTACCTGGGGAGGCAGGAGGAGTGCCTCTTCAGCCTCCTCACCATCATCTTCCTCAGCTGCGTCTTGGCCACTGCCTTTGTCACGGAGGAAGTGGTAGCTCAGGTAGAAGTGCTGGCAGGCCCTGCAATGAAGGATTCCTCCAAGTCCCCGCCTCTGGCCTGCTGCTCTTGCTGGCTTCCAAAGAACTTTCTGAGGACCAGGCATCTGGTCCAGGCCTTCAGGAGCCTGTGCGCCTTAGCCCCACGCCTGCACGGAGTCTGCTGCCGCATCCCCAAGGTCATCCGGCAACTTTTCGTGGCCGAGTTCTGCAGCTGGATGGCCCTCATGACCTTCATGCTGTTCTACACGGACTTTGTTGGGGAAGGACTGTATCAGGGAGTTCCCAGAGCTGAGCCAGGCACAGAAGCCAGGCGACACTACGATGAAGGTAATTTGATTTCTGGGGGGGATCAATGCTTTATGCTTATGTCCTTCCATTACAGCAAGTTTCAGCACCTAGACCCTTTGAATTATGCAACAGGAAAACTCTTTCTCTTACTTCTGATAACTTATGCAAGCAAAGCAGACTTTCATAAAGTTACCCTTTCTATTTACTGCAAATTCTTGGTTCTTGCTCAACGTGGGATTCTTTGGGAAGGAGGCAGGAAGTGGAGGGAAAGAGGAATGGGTGGTGGAATGAGGCCAGCTGGTTTCAGTGTGGTCCTGTGATAGAGTTGGCTCTAGATCTGGGAAACCAAGTTCTAAAACCTTATTCAACAGTGCAGTTGCTGAATTGCCCTGGGTTAGTGATCATCCTTATAGCCTGAATTCCCCCACTGTGTTATAAAGGAATCTCTTCCCCACCCCAAACATCTGAAGCCCGGTGTTGTTGTTTTTTTTAAAAAAAGAACTGGGAGACTCATTGGCCTGTATAGTCATTTCTATGCGTGACGAGAGCAAAGTTGGGCGATGGGAAATATGTGGCCCTCAAGATGTCCTCTGTCATTGGCCATGTTAGTTGGGGCTGATGGAAGTTGGAGCCCCAACAACATAAGAAGGGCCACAGGTTCCCTGTTCCTGGTGTATGTGATGTGAAAGAGACTTTGGTAATCTTTTGCAATATGGTGCCCTGTGCTAGACCAAAATTTTGTGCCCCCCCAAATGGATCTTTGCAATTGTAGATCTTCACAATTTTGTGTCCTCTCAGCTTGGCATCTTGTGAGGTGAACCGCCCATGGCACCCTAAATCTGGCACCGATCCTATGAAACCCCCCTTGGGTGGTGGTAGGGAAAGACAGCTAAGGAGTGTAACTTACCATTCTCGTTTGTACAGCAGAGTTGCGGGTGTGCCTTGTACAGAGTAATACCAGACCAGAGTACAACTGAACTAGGTCCACAGTAGGACCAAGTAGAGTAGTAATGACTGAATCTTGGACGGAAGTATATTTATTATCTTGCAAACCAAGACCACTTTTGCAATGAAGGGGACTGAGCCAGGGACCTCATATGTACAAAGCTGTACAGCTTTTTAATTGCACTTAACTAAAGCATGAAATCTAGCTGCCATCCTCCAACACATAAAGTCACTCCTATGGAGCATATTCTCTGCTCAGTAAATTCATTTGCTGACCTGGGCTCCTTTGGGAAGAAAGATGGTATATCAGATTAATAATGAATAAGCAAAATTGCCTTTCGTAAGAGCAGCTTTGGACATTATTTTGCCATGAAAGCTCCCTGTGGAGGTTAATAAGGAAATCTGGAGTGTTAGCATCTCCAAAGGAATTCAGCATTTCTTCTGCAGACGTCCTCAAGCTGGTATTCTCCAGACATTTTAAACTACAACTCCCATCAGCTCCAGCTAGATTCCCTTTTATGTTGCATGGACTTTGGAGACCAGCAAGGAGCAAAGCCAGAGATAGCCAATGTGCTGCCCTCCAGATCTTACTGGGGCACAACAGCTATCATCACTGGCCACGTTGGCTCTGGCCAAAGGGAGTTGTGGGCAAACATCACCCAGAGAACACCCGTGGGCAACCCCTGATCTATTGCCTCTTCTCCTTAACTTAAAAAGGTGCTTTGGTAATAGGCTTTCTTGAATACTTCTGCTAAAGCTACTTGGCCCCTTGCCTACCTGTTGTTCCCATATAATAGTTCATTTCAAGGTCTGGGTGACCCAGCTTAAATGTAAGTAATATTTAACATTTATATCCTGGTGGTGCCTTTGAGGCTCTGCAGAATTGGAGGGTCAGTTGTGTACACACAACGATGCTCAACAATCTCAGAGCCATGGCCAATGTCAAGTTGTTTTATGGGAAATGCATAAAGGAAAGTCCAAGTCTTCAGAGGACATTGTCCTATAAATTAATAAACAAATCTTTGGATGTCTTTATACTTACCTCCTTAAATGAACACGTTGACAAATCCTATAACTGAAGTCTACTTAGGCCTGATGACCTTGCATGTAGGTCATCTGTTGGTTCTGCCAAGAGGAGTGACAGATGTCTTCTGGACTCTGTGTTGGCCCTTCCATTGCTATTGAAGCATATTTCGTTTTTAATGCATTCATATTTTTATCCTGCCCACCTCTTAATTGTGAAATGGGAACTTCTATACAGGAACGGCTAAGAAACGCTTCTTAAAAATTGATAAGACTGAAAGCTGAACTAGCACTCAAAGCATTGCAGCTATTTGCCTTTATGAACCTGGCTATCTGGTTTGTCTGGCCCCTGGTTCTTCTCCATTTCACCCAATGTACACACGTCTCTTTTCAGGGATTCGAATGGGTAGCCTGGGCCTCTTTCTCCAGTGCATCATCTCCATCATCTTCTCGACAATCATGGACCGGATGGTGAAGCAGTTTGGGACACGAATGGTCTACCTAGCCAGTGTGGCCTTATTCCCGCTGATGGCCATCATCATGTGCTTCTCTCAGAGTGTTGTCATCGTCACTGTTTCTGCCGCCCTGACAGGCTTCCCTTTCTCAGTGCTGCAGATCTTGCCGTACACACTGGCATCGCTTTATCATCATGAAAAACAGGTGGGGATGTGTATGTATATGTGTGTGAGAGAGAGAACGTCCAGAGAGTCTTGACCAAAGTGGTTTTAATAGGGCCTAACAAATATGTGAGGGACACAGGTGGCGCTGTGGGTTAAACCATGGAGCCTAGGGCTTGCCGATCAGAAGGTCGGCAGTTGGAATCCCCACGATGGGGTGAGCTCCCGTTGCTCGGTCCCTGCTCCTGCCAACCTAGCAGTTCAAAAGCACGTCAAAGTGCAAGTAGATAAATAGGTACCGCTCCGGCGGGAAGGTAAATGGCATTTCCGTGCGCTACTCTGGTTCGCCAGAAGTGGCTTAGTCATGCTGGCCACATGACCCGGAAACTGTATGCCAGCTCCCTTGGCCAGTAAAGCGAGATGAGCGCCGCAACCCCAGAGTCGGTCACGACTGGACCTAATGGTCAGGGGTCTCTTTACCTTTACCTTTAACAACTAGGTGACTCATGTCTCTGAGCCATTTACATCTTTTTTTGCACCTTCTTTTTTTGCTCCAGTAGTGGTAGTGAAGATTGAATAATCCATTGGTTTTTAAAGCAGGAGTGGGTAACATCTGGCCCTCCAGATGTTTCTGAGCTCCTACTTCCATCAGCCCTAGCAAGCAAGGACAATGGTCAGGGATGATGGCAGCTGCCTTTTACAGCCAGATTCTCAATGACCTTGATGGGGTGCTTCCAGCCTGGGCATCAAATGTGGCCCTCTATTTCTGTCTATCAGGACCTTGGGATTCTCACTTGCCAAAATCCCCTCCCCAGGCAACACTACCATTGATCTTGCTCTGTGCCCTCTGTCTAGAAGGTCACCCTGGATATGGGATAATAACTCTTGCTTGCTTAAATGGAGGAGTGTGTATACAGTCGTACCTTGGAAGTCAAACGGAATCCATTTGAATTCCAAAACATTCGGAAACCAAGGCGCAGCTTCTGATTGGCTGCAGGAAGCTCCTACAGCCAGTTGGAAGCTGTGACAGACATTTGGGTTCCAAAGAATGTTCACAAACCGGAACAATCACTTCCAGGTTTGCTGCATTCGGGAGCCAAAATGTTCGTCTTGCAAGGCGTTTGACTTCCAAGGTATGACTGTCTGTGGAAATCTCTGAATTTTGTGCTGACAGGATGTTTACTTAGCTCTGCGTTGGATGCAAGCCATAATCCAGTGTTTTAATAATTCTAACTATATTACACTCTCACTATAATCGTGTTAAACAGTTGTTACAATGCTTACATGTCACTGTATTACCTAATTGTCGTGCTATTAAGTGACATAATTACAGTATTGCATCTTGTTCAGGTTGTGCTGGAGGCAGATGTCCCCCTCTTGGGAGGATGTTACTGCTCTCTAAGCTTCTTTCTCCTTTGCCTGTTGTCAACCCTTTGTGTCTATTTCCTTTGTTTGTTTGTTTTTGCTTTGCCTCTTTTCCCAAGTGAGTTACTCCATAACAGCTGCTAGCCCAGTGTTGTGAGAGCCTTCAGACTAAACATCTCTGAAGCTTCATGCTCACAAGCCGTGTCAGATACTATGCTTGATCTTTGCCAAAAGGCCAAGTAGTGATACGAGCCACACACTCTGTTGAATCATGCTGAAAATACCATTGAGCAAGGAACACTATCATTTTTTTCTAACTGGTTGACTTCAGGTAGCACCTGTTTGATGCAGTTGGTGAAACACTCTTAAAAGACACCGTTCCCCCTCCTTCTGTTCTCCAAATGGTTATAGATCTATTTGGACTTTGGAGTTGGTCTTAGCTGGGGAAAGATTATATTGTCCCTTACTCCTTGCTATAGATCCATGTCCCAACAGACTGATGCTGCTCACCAACTCAGCTGCCATCTTCTATAGTCTGGGTCTTCTTCAATTTCTGCTAATGATGTGTCAAAAGAGAAGTGCTTTGCTGCTGCAGCAGCCACAAAAGTGCTGCCTTCTACAAGGTGTTGCCCTGTACACTCACTGGCCCTGTTTTAACTGCACAGCCCTTAAACAGGTTGTATTTTCCATGTGTTTGGAACTGAAGGGAACTCCCGTTTCCATCAAGCACTGATCATTTTCTGCCTAGTTTGTAGCAAATTTCACATTCTGTTGCTATTTTTAGCATGTTGCATTATATTTTGTAGCATGTTGCATTATTATATTTTGCATTATATTTTGTAGCATGTTGCATTATAGCATCTTACCCTCCCCTCCCCCCTTTCCCCCCCTGTCCATTTCAGATATACTTGCCCAAATATAAAAGTAAAGAAGAAGACGCAGCTCAGCTGGAGAAGAAACACGGCTTCCTCAAGAGCCACCTTCCTGGACAAAAAGTGACCTACCAGAATGGACACGGCGGAAGCCTTTTCTCCCCGCCTGTTTCAGGCTCGGCTCTGTGCGTCAGCTCGCCCTGTGAGGTCTCTCTCATCATGATGGTGGGCGACTCGGACAAGGCAGCAGCAGCAGCAAGCCGAGGCATCTGTTCGGACTTGGCCATCCTGGACAGTGCATTCCTCCTTTCTCAGGTCATCCCCTCCCTCCTCATGGGCTCCCTTGTCCAGTTCACGCAGTCCGTCACCGCTTACATGGCATCAGCTACTGGCTTTGGGCTGGTGGCCATTTACTTTGCAACCAAAGTGATCTTTGACAAGAGTGACATGGCCAAGTACTCTGTGTAGGAGGGGGATATGCTGCCAAGGGAATTTCGCACATTGAAACGGGTCAGGTGGTGCACATTGCGGCCTCTTTCTCCCTGCCAGGTTGTGCTGTAATGAGACGTGCAAAAAAACAGAAAAAAAAAGAAACCCGGCTCCCTCTGGTTGAAGGAAAAGCAGTGCTAGGCTGATCTCAGGGTATCTAACGAAAGGGAGTCTGGTTTACTGTTGTCTGTTTCTCCCTAATGCCTTCATTGAAGTGCCTCTGCACAGAAGCCCGCAGCAGACGCTTGCGGGTGTGAAAAGTAAAACACCATCCTTTCTGCAGCAGGGTACTTGCTCTGATAGCTTTGTCTCATGGCATGGCGGGATGGTGACACAGTTCAGGAAGGGACCAAAGCTGTAACTAACCTCACTTCTTAAGCCCCTGCTCACACCATTGCAAATGGGAAGGGGGTGGGCGCTGAGATGCACTTGCTGGACTCTCTCTCCAGAGCTGTGTGGCCTGCCAGCCCCAACCCCACGCTGTCTGAAGCAAGGGAGCCTGCTTGGCATGAGCAGGCTTTCAGCAGGATTCATTAACATTGCAGGCCCTGTGCTTCAGACATGGACACAATTGCCCTCGCAAGCCAATAGGACTTTAGTTGTGCCTTTAATACATTGCTGTTGCTTGGTCTTCATGTGGGAATACTGAGTCGTCACGCCTATGTAACATAACATTTTGGGTATTGGTGTGAACCGGGGGGCGGGATTTGTGAAGGAGATTGCGGATGGGCACATCTGTAGAAACAACCCCTTCCCCATAGTAGCTGTTCCAGATGTGCTGCAGGTCGGAACCCGAGATCAAGGTGGTATAAATAAGCTGAGCAGGGCTCCGTAGGAGGGGGCTTGTTTAGCAGAGGATGCTGCGGTTGAGCTGGCGGCAAGTCTGCAGTGGCGTGACGGAAATTAAAACCTTGGTCATCATCCGATACTTTCCCCTGTGTATGCCCCAAATAGAGCTTGCTGTTTGTGCAAACAGAGAGGCTCGCATAAACGTAGCTTGAAGAACATGCTCCTCTGGGGGACCTGGCTTTAAGTGACTGACTGGCGCAGACACATTACACTACCTTCCACTGTGCAGTCCTGAAAAAAAGAGGCCTAGTGTGCCAGCAAGGTTGAAAAAATAAAAGCCTTGCTCCTGTTAAGGTGATGTGGCCAGCCTGGTTGTGCTAAAGGGCTCTGTGTTGTTGTTTTTTAAAGCACACCACCCAACTGTGTTTTTGTATACCACAAGGCAGAGGTTTTTTCCAGTGTGTGATCCAGTATTTCTACCACCCAGATAGTGTAGAGGCTCTCCCTAGGTTGAGCAAGCTATGCAAAGCAAACTGCTCTCTTTTGAAACATATTCTGTAGCTGTTGTCGCTGCTGCCAAGCAGTTTTCAATGAGCCGTTTGCAGAGCACCATGCAGTGCAGGCAGTTGTAACTTGGAGAGTGTGGAAATTGCACATCCAGTACCGAAAAAGATCAGGGAATGTAAAACTCTGTGATTGAGAAGCCAAACCTCTTCCCCCAAAGTAAGATACCCTGTCCTATTGGGTTCAAGAAATTTGAACGACAAAACGTTGCTGTAACTAGCTCAGGACCAAACTTGATATGATGTTAATTATGTGAATTCAATTAAGGTGCACTTTTTGGGGGGTGGAGTGGGTGGGATTATATTACTAGCAGCCTCAAAGAAGCCTGTACAGTCTCTGGAGGGACCACTGTCTCTCTCCCTGCTGTGGTCCTAACAAAAATTACCCCTCTAAAGCTCCTATTTGTATGTCAGCAGAAACCTCTACTGGTGCCACAGGGAGCCTCCACCGGCACCAAAAACAAATTGCTAGGACAGGAGAAAAGCATCCTGTTCTCCCAGTTGTCTACCAGATGCCCACAGGAAGCCTGAAAACATGACTTGAGCGCAGTAGCACTCTTTCCTTATACTGGCCACCCCTGGGAGTTGTAGTTCAGGGCCAAAGTTCAGGGCCAAAGTAGGAACGTGTCAACCAGAGCGAAGGGGACATTTTCTTTAATTTGCCTCTTCCACATTCTTACTCAGCCTATGGACTCGTCTAGTTGCTCTTGGCCTTGAACTAACAGAAATGAACGGAGCGACGGCTTTCACCAGTTTGGGAGGATGGGAGGGCTTATCTTACTAGCAGCAACCCTCCCAACACCTGTGACACCTCTCCTCTCACAGCTATTCTACAAACCCTCTAGGGCAGCGGTTCTCAACCTGTGGGTCCCCAGATGTTGTTCGACTACAACTCCCATCATCCCTGAGTTCTGGCCTTGCTAGCTAGGGGTGATGGGAGTTGTAGTTCAACAACACCTGGGGACCCACAGGTTGAGAAAGGCTGCTCTAGGGGATCATTGTTGATGGCTTAGCAACCCAGCATCTAGGTCAGGAATTTTCAGTCTTTTGAAATCAAGGATCCACCTTAAGCCCAAATGTGCAACGGAGGACCCACTCCTTAACATTTTCCCATTGCACTTGGTTCTGCTGCTGTCATGACCCACCTTAGTTCAGGCTGTGACCCAGGAGTGAGTCCCAACCCACCAGCTGAAGACTAGGAAGTTGAGGAAATGCGAGTGGTGCTAGCCAGGAAGCAGGTTTAGAGGACGAGCGCAAGCTGGGAAGTGGGAGAGGCTCCACTCCATCTCCAGTGTCAGGGGAGGGGTGTGTATGTGTGTGTAAGATGCGCCCACAACACTGTCTGGTGCGCCCCTTCTAAGAAGAATGGCATGCTGTTACTGGGCAAGTAAGGGTGACGACTGTGCTTGGAAACTGGCATGAGTACAAACTGGAATAAATCAGATCAAGCTTTCCTCTTGGGGAATTGTGCATTATGGGTGTGGTCCAAGTGATGGTTATAGATTACCATGTAGAAAAAAGTTTGAAGCTATTTGTACTTGAGGACACTGGCATCTGCAGCTAACGGGAGAGCCAAGGGCTTGAGGGATGGGTTTAGATGTGGGGGCCATAAGGGCTGAGTCGAATATCCCAAGTAGAGCTTGTCGCCCAAAACCTAAGCTTGAGCCAAAATGATACCTAAAAGCAGAGTCTTGCACTCTTGAGCACTTGCAAGTATATCAGATACGGGGACTAGAGAAATGTCACTTGTGCCTGTACTCTGCAATATGAAACTTTGAAGCTGTGTGCCATCCTCTTTGAGCCTCTTAATTTCCTGTTTCCTGGAAGCAATGAAATTTCTGTGGTTGTGCAGCTGGGAAAGAATATTTTGAAACTTAAATCTGCCCAGGCTGCTGCTTTCTACCATATTTTTTTTGCATCTTAATTTGGGAGGGAAGAGAATGTTGCTGCTTCTAACCCTGCCCCAAGATGGATTAGAAGAATTTTACAGTTGGAAAGGACACTGCCTAGTCCAACACTGTCCAGTGCAGGAATCTTGCACTGCTGCATCCCTGGCAGAAGGTTGCTCAGTCTCTGCTTAAATGCTTCCTATGAGGGAGACCTCTCTACCTCCCAGTCTGTTCTGAGCATCCACCAGCTCCAGTGATCTGCAGTGTTGTATTCGGCAATCACCCACAAACCTTCATCCCCTAGCAAGTAGCCAGCTCTAAATAAGCACGGTTGTTAGGAACGCTCTCTTTTTACACTTGATATGGATCACTGAAGAATCTATCCAGCCATCGGGCAACGGATGGACACATCCCTACTATTGCTGTATGGCCAGTATTAGCTCAGATACATATGGGGTCCATTTTGCAAGCTTTCTTAGAGATCAGCTGAGTGGCAAGTTCTGACTCCTATGTTACTGATGTGCTTCATCTGTCCCCCCCCCCTCCAGCTTTATTTAAAGGGAATTTATTATCATTGTTTGGGCCAGTGATTGGGTGGTGCCTTTACTTCTCAACAAGAGATTCCTTTGGATCATTTGTTTTGGGGGAATGTATTTCCCATTCTGTGTCTTGCAAAGCACTGTCTGCAAACAAATTGTGATTCTATTTATTTAGGGAAGTAAATATTTTGTACAGTTTATGTGCAGGGGGTATTAAAATTTATTAAGGAGTGGAAACCTTTAAAAAAAAGTGTATGTGTTTGTTTCTTAAATTAACGGATGCCAAGTTTTTTTTTTAATTATTAAAAACAATTTGTATACCGCTTTACTACAATGTCTCTAAGCGGTATACAAGAAATAAAATACAGAAAAGGTGAAAATCAGTTAAAACGATAAAATCTGACTTCAGCCAAAATGCCTGCTGGTAAAAGGATATAAAATATAAAATAAAATAGACACTGGATGACCTCAACTGGACAAGAGCTCCACAAAATTGGGTCCATGTGGTGGATACAAACCGTGCACCCGAGTCATTGGGGACCACTAACAGTGACTCCCCCAAACACCTCAGTGATCAGGCAGGGATATAAGGGATTAGGTGGTCCTTGAGGCACCCTGGACCCAAGTTGTTAAGGACCTTATAAATTCATACAAGAATATTGAACCTGGCCTAGTAGCATATGGGCAACCAGTGCAAGCTTTTGGGCACTGCTGACAATAGTCTTTCCCCATCAACAGTTTACCTGCAGCATTTGGTGCCAATTAGAGCCTCTGGACCAGGCCCAAGAGTAGACCCTCATGGAGCACATGGCCATAATCAAGTCTTGAGTTACTAATGCATGAATCACTGTGGCTGCACTACCCTTTTCCAAGAATGGCTGTCGTTGATGCACAAACTGCAGGTGGTAAAAGGCACTAGAATGGACCCAGGAACATCCCGAAAATCTAAGCCTGTTCTTTCAGTGGGAGTGCAACCCCATTCAGAACAGACTAATACCCTTGTAGTGGAAAGAAAGGTTACGTTCCAGCCGTACACATCCATGCACAAGAAATGGAAGAAAGGGGAAATTGTGAAGAAAGATTATACATGAGTAGCCAGCAGTTGTAGGGTGAAGGTCAGGTGGGCTGAAGCTCAGAATGAGATAGGTTAAAAATAATATTACAGGCTTATTCAGCTATGGGGCTACCTTTGAAGGTGACCCGGAAACTGCAATTAATCCAGAATGCGGCAGCTAGACTGGTGACTGGGAGTGGCCGCCGGGACCACATAACACCGGTCCTGAGAGATCTGCATTGGCTCCCAGTACATTTCCGAGCACAATTCAAAGTGTTGGTGCTGACCTTTAAAGCCCTAAACAGCCTCGGTCCTGTATACCTGAAGGAGCAGCTCCACCCCCATCATTCACCGCAGACACTGAGATCCAGCTCCGAGGGCCTTTTGGCGGTTCCCTCATTGCGAGAAGTGAGGTTACAGGGAACCAGACAGAGGGCCTTCTCAGTAGTGGCGCCCGCCCTGTGGAACGCCCTCCCTTCACATGTGAAGGAAATAAGCAGCTATCCTATCTTTAAAAGACATCTGAAGGCAGCCCTGCTTAGGGAAGTTTTTAATATTTAATGCTGTACTGTTTTTAACATTTGATTGGGAACCGCCCAGAGTGGCTGGGGAATAAATAAATTATTATTATTATTATTATTATTATTATGATGTTTGAAGGAAGACGAAGAACGTGCAAGTAGGTGCTTTGCATTGAGAAGGAGAAATGCTATTGGGTGACAGAGATGGCAGAACTGCTCAACGTCTATTTGACTCTGTCTTTACCCAAAAGGAAAGCAGTGCCCATGCTTGGGATAACAGAATAAACTACGCAAGGAGTGAGATGAAGCCCAAGATAGAAAAAGACGGAGTATGAGAACACCTGACTACTTTAAACGAATTCAAATCTCCAGGACCTGGTGAGCTGCACCTAAGAGTACTAAAGGAGTTTGCAGATGTAATCTCAGATCTTTGAGAATTATTGGAGAACAGATGAGCTCCCTGGGGACTGTTCTCCCCATCTTCAAAAAGGGGGGAAAAGAAGATCCAGATAACTACCAACTTATAGCTTGATGTCAATACCAGAAAGGGTCCTAAAACAGTTGGTCTTTAAGCACTTAGAAAAGGATGCTGAGATTACTAAGCCCCAGCATGGGTTTCCTCCAAAACAAGCCATGCCAGACAGCTCTACAATTCTATGATTCTGTGAGCCTTCATCCAGGTAAGTAGGATAATTACACAGTTCAAAGATGCATTCCAGCCAGGCAAAGATGCTCAAGGAAGTCACTGAGCAGGGGCAGTGAAAGGTGTGGCCTACAGAGAAAAGGAATGGCCTAGACTAGAGAGAGCCACAAATTGACCCACATGCCAGAAGCTCCCCACCACTGATATAAACACACACGTGAAAAACTGAGCTCAGTATTTTCTTTGCTAAAGCTTCTATATGGAATTCCATTAGCAGGCTTCCCAGAGAACTACACTGGTTTTGGGGGATGGCAGATTTAAATTTTACCCACCACTGAATATTCATGCCGGGGGGGGGGGGAGAAAGCCACCCACTGATTGCTGCCTGTCATGCAGCTGTTGGCACAATATCAAAAAGGCAAAAGTGTACACAAACAGAACAAGACAAAAGGAAGTAGAAGATATCAAAACATGTTTGCCTCAAGAAAACAACCTTTGGCCTCTCTTACAAATACCCAGAATTTGCTGAGGCAAGGATGGTGAATTATTTTTCTTCCTGAGATCTTATATTAACCTAATTTCTACTGCAACACTGAATGAAGAAATAAGTTGAGGGATCATCCTTTGAGGCTATTTCTGAATTTGCAAGTATAAAATCATAGAATGGTAGAGTTGGATGGGACTCTGAGGGTCATCTTAAGTTCAACTCCCTGCAATGAAGGAGCTCAACTAAAGCACCCATGACAGATGGCCATCCAACCTCTGCTTAAAAACCTCCAAGGAAGGCGAGTCCACAATTTCCTGAGGGAGTCCGTTGCATTGCTGAACATCTCTTACTGTCAGAAAGTTCTTCCTGATGTTTTGTCAGAATCTCCGTTCTTTCTTGTAACTTGAATCCATTGGTTCAAGTTCTACACTCCAGAGCAGAAGAAAACAAGCTTGTTCCATGTGACAGCCCTTTAGATATCTCAAGATGGCTCTCAGATCTGCTCTCAGTCTCTGTTTTTCTAGGCTAAACATACCCAGCTCCCTCAACTGTTCCTCATAAGGCTTGCTTTCCAGACCCTTGATTATCTGGTTGCAAAAATAAAGGCTTTATGGACAGAAATCTGACCAACACTTATCTAGTATGGTAACCCTGATAAATATCCCAGCGCTGATAAATATCGAAGACAATGGGAATAGGGGATGTAGTACTAGATATAATATAGACTAGTAGAGATGAGTATGTGCAAAGGGTTCTGCTTTAACAGGTATTTTCGCACTTAACACTTTTTTTTAAGGTCTTAATAGAAAAATAGGTACCGCTCTGGTGGGAAGGTAAATGGCATTTCCATGCGCTGCTCTGGTTCGCCAGAAGCAGCTTAGTCATGCTGGCCACATGACCCAGATGCTGTACACCAGCTCCCTCGGCCAGTAAAGCGAGATGAGTGCTGCAACCCCAGAGTAGATCACAACTGGACCTAATGGTCAGGGGTCCCTTTACCTTTTAGTATTGTATGCCAATGAGTATAAAGGAAATGTACAGTTTCCCTCCCTAGTTGATGCTGTCACTAATAAGCTCTTAGCTGCCTGTATGCTGGGAGTGTAGCATTTATCTTGCCAAAAGCTGAGCATATCTTCAAAGCAATTAAAGAAATTAGTGGAACAACAACAAGCCATTGGCTGAGGAGCGGCTTAAAGCGTGGAATGCTATGCTGTTGAATAAACTTAACAGTAGTAATTAGATCTAAATTAGGGGGAAATCTCAGCTATAAATGATGATTTTGAGAAATGGAAGGAGGGACTCCTTTGGGGTATGCTTCCATTTATTTAAGCATTTAAAAAGGAGGAACAGCCCAAGAGAAATTTGGCAACCGACCCATTGATACAGGCCCATGCAACTTTAGGCTTGGAAATAAATCTGGTTTGTTTCCACTGCTTCGGTTGCAGACCAACTTCCTTTGGCAACAGGTACCTGCTGGGGCACGGGTGGCGCTGTGGGTTAAACCACAGAACCTAGGACTTGCCGATCAGAAGGTCAGCGGTTCAAATCCCCGCAACAGGGTGAGCTCCTGTTGCTTGGTCCCTGCTCCTGCCAACCTAGCAGTTCGAAAGCACGTCAAAGTGCAAGTAGATAAATAGGGACCGCTCCGGTGGGAAGGTAAACGGCTTTTCCGTGCGCTGCTCTGGTTCGCCAGAAGCAGCTTAGTCATGCTGGCCACATGACCTGGAAGCTGTATGCCGGCTCCCTCGGCCAATAAAGCGAGATGAGTGCCGCAACCCCAGAGTCGGTCACGACTGGACCAAATGGTCAGGGGTCCCTTTACCTTTACCTGTTGGGGAAAGTGAGTGCTGAACCTTCAGGCTGAAGTCCAGTGTCCCACAGTCTAGCTCCCCCCCCATTAGTATCCAGAGAGTGGCAGATTATGGGGGTAGAAGCAAACAAGCCCTATGTCAGCACCTAGACCCAGGTGGTCATGTTTTAAAAATATCTTTTGTAGACAGGAGGTGACCAGCCAGTTATGTAGATTTTGTCAGCATTGCCCTTGAGCCAGTGCCACCAACTGGACTCATCCACTTCAGCCCCGACTGGGCTAGGCGAGCTGGGTAGCACTTCCAGAGACCACCTTCTGCACAGGAACAGGTCAAAGTGCTGTGGACTTAGAGTTGTGAGCACTGGATTCACTCCCACAAGAAGACAGTCGTCGCACAGCAGAGTACAGCAGAGTCTAGCAGAGTATATAAACGACTCGGAGAGCAGCTCTGTAGAATATCTTCTTTATTCTATAACTACAACTATACAAACTATATACAGAGCTTAATAGGTCTAAGCATAAATAAATGCTGCACTGCACTGAGTGTCTGCAGCTGCTCTTAGCAGCAACCTTATCTCTACACACGATCTCTAACACTCAGTCTCTCTCTCTCTCTCCGACACTGACTGACTGACTGACTCTGGTGCTGGAGCAGAAGTAGAGAGCAGAACACGCCTCCTCCTCTCTGGAGAATCAGCAGACTCCTCAGGAGATTCTTGGATATGGGA